AAGAAACCACACTTTTCCTAGGCGGCCATGTGGATTCAGAAGCCTCAATCCTCTTAAGAACATCCCTCAAGAGCTCAGGTGGCATATTAGCCCAACAGCCCTGCCTCAGCAAATCTACCTGTTCCACAAAGCTGTCCTGAACCATCCTCCGTGACCATGATCGACCAAACCTCACCTCAAAACCTTTCCTAGAGATACCCCCACATTCACCTTTCACGTCCCGAGGGATTATACTTCTACGAGACATTCTCAAAGCCGCCCCAAGAATACCCAGACTGCAGAAGGACCACAGTAGAACAGAAGAGGCTAAAGCTGCAAGCTTTGAAGGATGGACCGGGGAATATCAACTGATAATTGATCAAGAATGCAAAAATGGCCGAGGGAATTGTTTCCCCTTCGTAGCTTACAGTGGAGCAGATCTGTGAATGGGTAAAACAAACTTTTTTGTAAAGTTGTGGAATCAAAAGGGCAGTCCTGAAAATCTGATTTGAGGGTTGATACTGTGGATGATGAATTTGGTGGGGGAGGTAGTGACTAGTGACGTAAACGCAGTCTTCTTGTTGGCGTTAATCGGGTGGGTTGCGTCGGAATAGGTTGTGCGGAGCGTCGAGAGGATCGCGTCAATGCTGTAATAGCGGGGTGTTAACGGAGTCGGTAATGCGGGTAGGAGATAAGGGTATGGTGGGTTATGGATCGGATGCCCACCATGTGGGCCATAGTCATGGGCATGCTTTTTCTTTTTGGTCGTCTGTGGACCATATTGTGAGTCAAAGAATATATGGACCATATTACATTACAGAGTACTCTTCCGGTCAGGTATACCTGACCGGAGCCCCGTCCGGCCTCCTCCATTTGGGTAGGTTCCACATCAAGTCTAGTTCATCCATACCAAATTTCAGCCAAAAATTCAATCGGGAAGGTCGTAAAATAATTTTTGCAAGTTAACTGGTCCGGAAAATACATATTCCGGACCAGTTAACTTGCAAAAATCATTTGACCACCTTCCCGATTGACTTTTTGGCTGAAATTTGGTATGGATGAACTAGACTTGATGAGGAACCTACACAAAAAATTTGAGCAAAAAATACCACCGGGAAGGCCCCCAAATGGAGGAGGCCGGACGGGGGGAGTGGTCCGGCCTGGCCGGACCTGAATATTGGTCTTACATTACATACACTAAATTAATGGTATTATACTTGCAAACAAAGAGTGGATTTAGGTGTACACAAAAGTTGTACACTTTTTTGGAGTCCTAAACTATACACCTGGGTGTAGGTACATCCGGTCCAATTATAGAGGAGTCCAATTAAGTTAGAAGCCCATAAGAAAGGCCCATTGTTTTACCGGGTAACTACGGGGACCTGCAACGACAGAACTCAAAAAAGCCCAAGTCTTTCCAGTACTGTCTCCACTTCTTCACTAGCCATGACCTTCAGATACGTCGGCGACTCCGCCAGTTTTGATTCGGGCGGCGGGGATGGAATTAATAGTAAGCTGCTGATAGTATTTCTGACCCAATCAAAGATTATTATGTAGAGAACTATCACAGGACCTATGAAGCCATAGATAGGCATGAGAAGCAGAGCAGAGGCAAAGGGTAACTTTGTCTTCTTAATTGAAATTGCCCGAATCAGATAGCCCGAATCTATCTCTAATGATTCTTTGAGTTGTGGGGTTTCCGGCCGAAGAAACAGATATGCATGGTATACCAACAAATAGATGTGTTGTAGAATTGGGTAAATGAGCAATATTGTACTTTTAGTGAACATCTGACCTATTTTATTGAGTATTAGGAGACTAAGAATGAGTGTCACGATCTCCGCTTCATATCTTCTAATTTTTTTCTTTTTGTTGTTTTTTCTTTTATAAAAACTTATTAAAGTATATCTATAATCCACTCTTATTAATTTCAATATGCGAGTCTAATGTAATATGATACTTTTGAAATATACATTGATATGACATTGTAAAAAGGAGCAGAACATCAGTACCAAATGAGCATACATAACTTACAAAGTGCACATTGATATGAAAATCGTAAGGTTTTTGTTGTTGAACATCACGACATTTTATTGAATATCAAACATCAGCTATTGAGATGAAAATCACAAATTCTTGTGAATGAGCATTAATGAACTTGTAATGAGCATCAGACCTATTATGTTGAGTATTAGGAGTCCAATATATATGAGCATAAGATTAGTACCAGATGAGCATACGTAACTTACAAAATGAACATTAATGAATTTGTTAGTTGGTTTGTTAGTTGAACATCACGATATTTTCATTGAGCATCAAACCTCCTCTATTGAAATAAAAATAATGGTTTCTGTTAAATGAGCATGATACCTATTCTGTTGAGCATTAGTTTCATAAGTATTGATATGATATTTTAAAATGGGCATAACACTAGTCCTGAATGAGTATACATATATTATAAAATGAGCATTGAAAAATTCAAAAGCTCGTTTAAATTTTCTAGTATGCTCATATAAATATATTTATTGAGCATCAGACCTATACAAATGAGCATATGTAACTTAGAATATGAGCATTGATATGAAAATTGTAAGTTTTGTTCGTTGAGCATCAATACATTTTCAGTGAGCATCAAACCTTCAATTCGTTATTGGGTATTACAATTTGCAATTGAGTATCATGATTTGTGATCTCGTGTCTATAATCAACTCTGTTGGGTTAATGGCCCAAATCGGGGTTCGGCCCATTTACCCCTTCATCCGGACGAACGTCCGGATAGATCATCAGGCTATCCGGACAGGCTCACTTACTCAGTATGGACGAACGTCTGAAGAAGGGGCTCAGGTGCAGCGACCCACCCGACGAACGTCTATGATATCGACAAGGAGCAGGCCCACAAGTCATCGGAATAACGACGAACGTCGTCATAGCAAGCTATAACCGTTGGAAGCAATCCAGCTTACATGGCAAGAATCACCAAGGGCCAAGGGACGAACGGCCCAATCCCCTTGCAGGATCACGCAGGAGCCACCTGCCTCCTCAACTGGACGAACGTCCCCACTGGTTAGGCGGGAAACCTAGATTCTGGCGGGAAGTGCATTTAATGCTGAAGATTTGGTGGTTGAGACACCAGCGATCCACAGGCTTCCACGTCAGTGTAGCCAACTGCCCATTGGTGGGTATAAATAGAAGCATTTATTTCATTGTAAAGAGTTGGCAACTTTCTATTCTTAGCACTCTAGCTATAGCATTCTTATTCGCAACATCTCTATTGCCTTGTAAGACGAACGGCCGACGAGCCTTAGCGAAAGTATTGTATTAGGGAGTTATTAACAGATAATAATACCTAATCACTTACTTGCTACTTGTTGTTTCCCTTAATCCATCTCACTTGCTAATTGGGCTAGATATTCACACATCCATCCACTCGAAACTCTTGGGCTTACGTGTTGGACCCGAGGGTTGAAGGAATAAACTTCAACAAACTCCTATATAAATGTAATGTAATAGAGACTTTTGAAATATGCATTGCTAAAAACATTTTAAAAATGAGCATAACGAAGTTACTAAATGAACATACATAATTTACAAAAATGAGTATCCAAAAATTCAAAAATTCATTTGTGTATGTTCATTTTTAGGCGTTTTACTCATTTGAGTTTAAGGTATAGCTCATTTCTAATGTGCTTAGTATAATATACTCCGTATAAAGAAAAAGAAAGAAGTAATTAAGTAAAACGAGAAGAAGAAAAGAAAAAAGACAACAAATAAATGAACCCACTAATAAGCAACAAATAAAGAAAAAAGACAAAACAAAAGAAAATCATCCCACTAATAAATCCACTAGCTATAAAAGTAACGAACAAAATAAAAGGAAATGACAAAACATAAAAAGTAAAACGATTAGCAGGAAACGAAAGTGGATGATATGGCGGCGGAAGAAAAGTAAAGAATAGCAACTGGAGTGAGGATGACGGCGGAAGAAGATATAACAATTGGGATGATTAGGCGAGGAAGACGATTGACTGTCAAAGACTTAATTGCAAAAATACCCGGTTGTATGGTGAGAACCGTACAACCCGGTGTATGATATAATTTATCCACTTTTTTGTACACTTGTCTGCGGGGGACAGACAAGTGTACAAAAAAAAGTGTACAACTTTTGTGTACACCACGCATTTTTCTGCAAACAAATTAATGTGTGTATTAAGGGAAAGTATTTTCGTATTTATTTGTAATATTCTCTTGGCTTATTGGGTATAATTTAGACTCCTTGTAAAAACCAATAAGCCCAACCTCTTTGTATTTAAATACTCCTCTAATCATGGAATAATATGACACTTGAAAACCCTAAACACTTTGCTCTTTAACATGGTATCAGCTTCCCAGGGGTGATCTGCGGCCGCCTCCTCGACCGCACCCATGACAGCCAACGGGGACTCCGACGACACTTCCGGCACCCCGCTCAACATGGCTTCCGGTTCAACCTCTATCTCTATCAATCTACCAAAACTTAATATTCTCTTGGATCGTTCGAATTACATGCTATGGCGTCACACAGTTCGTTCGGCTCTTGAAGCTTTCGAGCTTGATGATTTCCTCTCCTCTAAAGCCATGCCTAATCCATTGGTCAAGCCTACCGATTCCACTAGTTCAACGCCGGTTGCAAATCCAGTGTATCTCGAATGGCGAAAGAAGGACAGGTTAATTCTTCTTTGGATCCGTTCCATGTTAACTACACCATTACTTGTTCATGTTGCACGTGCTACATCCACCCATGAAGCGTGGGATATTTTATCACGCATGTTTTATTCTCAAAATCGCGCTCAACTCATGCATCTCAAAACACAACTCCAACAATTTCCAAAAGGTGATTTATCCATCTTGGATTATGTTGAAAAGAAACGGTCCTTTTCTGATGCATTAGCTGAATGTGATTATATTGTTCCTGGTGAGGAGTTTGTTGAAAGTATTCTTAATGGCCTTGATGCATCATATTCGGCCTTTCGTTCTGCCTTCAATTTGCATTCGGAACTCATTAGTTCTCATGATCTACTTGGTCTACTGCTGCGTGAGGAAGCCCGCCTGAATTCAGAGAGAACTAGCTCCCTAACTGCCACTGCATTGGCAGCTACCCGGTCGGGTGCAGGGGGAACCCGGTCGGGTTTGCCAGACAGTAGGGGTGACTTTGTATCCAGTTCACGCCCAATTTGCCAAATCTGTCAAAAAACAGGTCATGAAGCCGTCAATTGCTGGCACAGGGCAAATTTTGACACCTATCCTGAGACCAAGCCACGACAACCTTCTCGTCGTGGACAGCAGCAGCCCCGCCGTGGACAGCCGCGTCGTGGTCCGCAATCTCAAGCTTCCATGCCGGGTTCTGTCTATAACACTCAAGCTCCTCCAGCTCTCAATCCTATTCCTTTACCGCCAGGCCAGCAAGCTTATCAGGTTCAGAATCCTCCTTCAACTCTACTTGACCCGTGGTGTTTTGATTCTGGCGCAACAAATCATGTCACAGCTGATTTTGGTAATCTCTCTGTTCATTCCAATTACACCGGTAATGAAGGGTTACAAGTTGGTAATGGTATGACTCTGCCCATAACTAGTTTAGGTCATTCTACTTTACAAGCATCACATGCTCCTGTTCATCTTAATAATATTTTATTTGTCCCGGGCATCAAAAAGAACTTACTCAGTGTTTCTCAACTCACCCGCGATAATAATGCTTATATGATATTTTTTCCTACCTGTTGCTTTGTGAAGGATCTCCAAGGACGGACGTTACTCACCGGACGCGTTGAAAATGGACTGTATCACCTTCAACCACCCCATACTACATCTCCCTCTCCTCGCATTTACCTCGGTGAAAAGACGTCTCTCCAAACTTGGCATCACTGTTTTGGACATCCACATGAGTCTGTTTTGCGTCGATTAGTTTCTAGATTTAATTTACCTATTTCTTCAAATAAATTATCTTCAATTTGTGAATCTTGTCAATTAGGGAAAAGTCATCGACTTTCCCTAACTAGTACTCACTCATCTAGTTTGCATCCTTTTGATTTGATTTATTCTGATGTGTGGGGCCCAGCCCCGGTGAATTCCTTTAATGGCAATAAGTATTTTGTTATTTTTGTTGATGATTGCACAAAGTTTGTATGGATTTATTTTTTACATCAAAAGTCACAAGTTCTTTCCACTTTTCAACTTTTTCAGGCCATGATTGCCACCCAATTTAACTCTAAAATTAAACAACTCCAGTCCGACTGGGGTGGAGAATATAGATCACTTTCTGCTTACCTACAAACCCAGGGTATTCTCCATCGTCTTTCTTGCCCTCACACGCAATCCCAAAATGGAGCGGCTGAGCGTCGTCATAGGACGATTGTTGAAAAAGGCTTAGCCTTGCTTGCTCATGCACATATGCCTTCCTCCTTTTGGGAACATGCGTTTCACACTAGTGTTTATTTACACAACCGCACTCTTACACCCATTTTACAAGACAAATCACCTTTTGAATCTTTATATGGCAAACCTCCTGACTACTCCCTTTTAAAGTCTTTTGGTTGTCTTTGTTATCCTCTTTTACGACCCTATAATGCTAACAAACTTGAGTTTAGGTCCTCTCCTTGCATTTTTGTTGGTTATAGCTCCAAACACAAGGGCTATCAATGTTTTCATGTTCCCACTAACCGCATCTATATTGTTAGGCATGTCATGTTTGATGAGACGTCCTTCCCATATCCCTCCCATGCTCACCCTGCTTCCCTTACCCCCCTCTCCTCCACCCGAACCGTATCTCCTCAACCATTACAGCTAGCCTCCACACCCTCTTCTCCTCTGTTTAACCCCTCTAGCTCACTGCCTGACCAGCCCGATCGGGTATCTCCATCACCCGTTCGGGTACCTCCCTCGCCTGACCTACACCACTTTCTGGTTCCCTCACCCGATCGGGTATCTCCCTCACCCGACCGGGTACCCGGACATTCCCAACCAAACAGCACCGCACCAACTACAGATTCATCTTCAAGCTCCGGTGCAACGGCTCAGTCCTCGGATTCTGCGCAACACTCAGGTATATCCTCCTCACCCTCTTCTTCCATGATTCCTACTTATTACCGACCTGTTGATACCTCCACCCATCCCATGATCACTCGTTCCAAAACAAACCATCTTAAACCCAAATCTCTCCTCTCCACTAAACATCCACTTTCCATACCCTCGTCTATACCCTTTGAACCACAGACCTTTCTTCAAGCAGCCAAATATCCTGAATGGCAGCATGCGATGCAAGTAGAGTATGATGCTCTAATTAAAAATGGGACTTGGGATCTTGTCTTACCTCCTCGTAACTCTAATATTGTTGGTTGTAAGTGGGTGTACAGGGTAAAGAAGCATGCTGATGGCACTATTGAACGTTATAAAGCACGCCTGGTTGCTAAGGGGTTTAATCAGGAGGAGGGTGTTGACTACTCAGACACCTTCAGTCCGGTTATTAAACCTACCACCATTCGTATTGTGCTCTCCTTGGCTTTATCCTTTGGGTGGAAATTACGACAGGTTGATATTGCTAATGCTTTTCTTAATGGTGATCTCTCTGAAACTGTTTACATGACACAACCTCCAGGTTTCATAGATCGTGCTCGCCCTACACATGTTTGTCTGTTGCGGAAAGCTCTCTATGGTCTTAAACAGGCCCCTCGTGCTTGGTTTCAAAAACTCCGCCAGTTTCTTCATCACCATCACTTCGTTGCATGCAAATCTGACACTTCATTGTTCTTACGCCGTCACAACGGTACCACTCTCTATGTCTTAATTTATGTGGATGACTTAATTATCACTGGTTCTCATTCTACAGAGATTGATACTTTTGTGACTGCACTTAATGATGCCCTTACACTACGTGACTTGGGAGATCTTCATTACTTTCTGGGCATAGAGCTAAAGCGCTCCACTTCCTCTATTTTTCTGAGTCAACAGAAATACATCACTGAGCTTCTCTTGCGTAGCAAAATGCATGACGCTCGTCCGATTGTATCACCTGCCGAGCCAGGCTCTCGACTCTCAAATTCTGGTGATCCTATGGCTGAGCCTAATCTTTACCGTAGTGTTGTTGGAGCTCTCCAATATGTCACTATCACACGGCCCGAGATATCTTATGCTGTTAACCGTGTGTGTCAGTTCATGCATGCTCCTACAGACATTCATTGGCAAGCAGTCAAGCGCATCCTTCGTTACCTCAAAGGCACCATGTCCACCGGTCTCCACCTACGGCCTTGCACAGATAATCGTCTTGTTGCTTTCTCTGATGCAGGTTGGGCTTCTGATATTGATGATTGTCGCTCACAACATGGCTTTGCTATTTATTATGGTGGTAATCTTATCAGTTGGGCGTCCAAGAAACAGCATGTTGTCGCCAAATCCAGTACCGAGGCTGAATATCGAGCCATTGCATTCACATCCACTGAACTCATTTGGATTCAGCAGCTTTTGCGGGAATTACAGGCTCCACTCAACATCCCACCCATTCTCTTATGTGATAATCTTAGTGCCACCTACATGGTTGCCAATCCTGTGTTTCATCAACGCTCCAAGCACATTAAAATTGACTATCATTTTGTTCGCGAACAAGTTGCGGATGGCTCTCTTATTGTTCGTCATGTTCCTGCTCTGGACCAGATTGCTGACATTTTCACCAAAGCTGTTGGAAACTCACGCTTTACTTCTCTTCGTTCCAAGCTCCATGTTGATCAATCTCCATGAGCTTGCCGGGGGGTATTAAGGGAAAGTATTTTCGTATTTATTTGTAATATTCTCTTGGCTTATTGGGTATAATTTAGACTCCTTGTAAACACCAATAAGCCCAACCTCTTTGTATTTAAATACTCCTCTAATCATGGAATAATATGACACTTGAAAACCCTAAACACTTTGCTCTTTAACAGTGTGACACATCTAAGTAATCTTTTTTTAGGGAAACATCTAAGTAATCAATATGCTCATATTAACATACTCAATAAATTTGAAGGGAAATGGAAGTAATAATCACATCTTTCACCGATCTTCCTGAAATAATCTTACTTGATCGTAATTTTATAATCCCATTTTTGCATTACGTCTTCTTCTGATGGTCACTAACGGGTTGAAACCTTTTATTCTAGGTTTTTCTTTTTCTTTACAAATAATTAAACCATAAATCACATTTTTTACAAAATTTCTCATAGTAGTCCCACATATGATTTTTCTTTCTTCTTCCTAAAAATTTTCTCTCTTTTTTCTTTATCCTCACAATGCTTTAATTCTTTTTTTCTACTTTTTATTTTCAGTTGTTTACATTGTTTATATATTACTTTATCCATTTACCATAAGAGTTTTTATAGAATTTCCTTTCGATATTTTTTTCTTTCTTTTTTGTCTTCTCCCCCATTTTTATTTTCTTTCTTCTTTATGTATTCCTATTCGTTGTAGTCTTTTTGTTTTAATAATTTTTTCGAGTACTTGTTTATATTTTGTCTTTGAATTTTTTCAGAAAGGAGAAAAATATATCGGTGGTGGAATTAGGGTAAGAAAAAGAAATAAAAAAGTGAAAGTAAAAAAAAAGTAAAGAAAAAAATAATTAGCAGCTAGGGTGAGAAACAGATCTTTTATAAGAAGGAAAATAATCCGAAAAAATACATATAACCGAAAATGAAATAAGGATTAATAAACAGGAAGAAGAAAAAGAAGGAGAAATGAAATACATGAACATGGAAAAGAAATAAAAATAAGAATAAGAAAACAAAGAAAGAGAATGAAAAAGTCAAGAGGATAAAAAATGAGAAAACTTTTGACTAGTAAAAAAGAAAAAATGATATGTGAGATCATTTTGAGAAAATTTGTGATAGGTGGTGGGATAAATGGTTTAATGATTTGCAAAAAAAATCATCTGGAATAGCATCAACCGATTAGGGACTGACGAACTAAAGTGAGGTGCAGATGTAGGATTATTCCTAAATGACATTTAAATTAGACTTTTTATAAGAAAGATCGCTAAAATGTGAGATTTTTAGAGCCCGTTTGGTAACCCATGTTTTTCAGCTTATGAGGCTTATCAGTCAACTTTTTCACAAAACACGTAACTTTCGATTTCGCGCATAATGGTGTTATAATAAGAAAAAGTAAGGTTAGAGTTACTTTTCTAACTGTATTGGCTGAAGTTAATGTAGAAGATCATTTTAGCTATTTTTACATGTAATTTTTTCTTTATTTTATTAATAAAATATATTGTAAATATAATTTTTCATAAATCAGAAGAATCGGCCAATTCAGCCACATAAGCTAGAATTTCATAAATTTCAGCAAAATCAGTCAATTCAGCCGATTTTGGTATTACCAAACGGGCACATAGTTCCAAATTTCCTTGAATTTAATCATCAGAAATTGCCCTAAATAGGAGTAAAAATGTTTTGAAATTCCAAAACAGGGAATAAATGCAATGTTTGAAAAAAATGCAATGTTTAAAACTCAGTAATGTCAAACTTGACAAAAATTTACTCATATTCAGGGAATAAAAAGCATCAAAGTCCTGTTTTGAAATTTCAAAACGTTTTTACTTGTATTTAGGAAATTATGTCTTTAAACATTACATTCAAACGTCAGACCTCGTGCCTAGTTGTTGCATCCTCCTTGTTGATGTCGGTCTTCTCGATGTTCTTGTGGGTCCTCTCCTTACCTGTTCTCTAGTTGGTGTTCTTTCACATGAAGGTGCCATGTGAAATCTTATGGTTGAAGCATCTCCTCCAAGAGTTAAAATATGGAAACCCTAAACCGCACTACAAAAAAACAGCGTTCTAGTCACGGATTTTAGTCACGGATTTGGTCCGTGACTAGTTTGTCACGGACTAGTCACGGACTAGTCACGGAATTTTAAAAAAAAAATTAGTCACGGATTTGACCGTGACTATGTCTGTGACTAAGCTTAGTCACGGTCAGATCCGTGACTAAAATCCTCCGATAGCCCCGATCCCGTTTCCGGCGTGGGTTATTTTATTCCGGGGAATTAGTCACGGACACATCCGTGACTAATACCGTGACTACAAAAAAAATTAATTTTCGGCGCTCAGAAATATACTTTTAATAATTCAAAATTTTTAACTTTTTTTTATAAAAAATAGTCACGGTCAAATCCGTGACTACGCCGGTCAATGACGGCGCTGACACTTCGTCTTTCGCGTGTCTGACTACGTTAACTACGACAGTGTAGTCACGGATATATCCGTGACTAACTCCGTGATTACGCCCATATATATAATTAACACTTAGCGAATTTTTCATTCGACATTCTCCAAAATCCTAAAACTCTCCCTCTCCACTCTTCTCTCTGTCCGCCAACCCCTTCGACCTCCACCGTCCGTCGCCACCGTCCGCCGCCGCGCTCCACCGTCTGTCGCCACCGTCCGCCGCCGCTTTCCGGTACCTAGCTCCATTGATCTTCGCCGTCCCTCTTACCTTTTTCATCAAGGTTATGTGTTCTAAATTTTAATTATTTCATTCTTATTTTTAGTATTTGATTTTTATTCCATGAATGCATGTTATTATAAGTATGTTCGCATTATTTTTGTTGAAATACACTCAAATGCATGATCATATACATGATTTTTAGTTTTATATAATTTCCGAAATTTTCAATTTGTTCTATGCATGATTCTTTAGCTTTGTATATTAATTTTCGGTTTTGGGTATTAATACATGTTTAATATGGTTTAGTTTATATGCTCAATTTGTTTTATGCATGATTCTTTAGTTTTGTATACATTTTTTGTGTAGTAATACATGTTTAATATTAAATTTCGAAATATGATTTAGTTTAGAAATTTCTTTAGTTTGTATACATGTTTAATATGATATAGTTTATTATATGTTTAATATGCATGACTATATTTTTTGTGTATATGTTTAATATGCATGACTATATTTTTTGTGTATATGTTTAATATGCATTCCTAAATAAAATCATATTAAAATGTTTTTTGAAATGTTATGCTATTTTTTGAAATATTAAACTATTTTTTGAAATGTTATGCTATTTTTTCGAAATTATAACAATTAAAATGTTTAAAATATGATTTATACTGATTTTGTAAAATGGCATACGAATAAATACAAAAAAACTGTTTTTAAAGAAATTATAAAATTTGATTTATATAAAGTATAAAAACTGATTTTTATATAAAAAAAGTATAACAGTTTATATAAACTGTTTTTCATACAAAAAAAGGATAAAGCTTAAAACAGTTTTTAAGTTTAAAACAATTTTAAGCCTCCAAAACTGTTTTTAAGTTTAGTAAGTTTTGAAATGATTTGTATAACTTCCTTATAAAAACTAATTTTAATACAAAAACTGAATTTTTTAAAGTCTAGGATTTCATTATAAAAATGAGTTTTAATGTCCTTATTAAAATGAATTAAAGTTAAAAAATGAATTAAAATGAATTTTATAACTTTCTTATAAAAAGTAAAAAAAACTCATATAGGTGGCAGCCAAGGAGGAGGCAGTCGCGGGGGAGGCAGTCGCGGAGGAGGCAGTCGCGGTGGCAACCGAGAAGGCCAATGTGGAGGCAACTGAGAAGAAAACGAGACCGAAGAAGATTATCTATATGATGATTCTAGATATTATCATAATGGTGGCCGGAAGAGCTTGTAAATGATATACATTTTTAATTTAAATTGAACATTGTTTATTTATACTATAATTCTAGTCTGTTTATTATTACTTTTATTCCAGTCTGTTTGTTAAATAAAATGTGTATTCTAGTAGTTTGTTTATTACTTTTATTCTAATCTGTTAATTTTATTCTAATATTTGAAACATATTTTTTAATTTTTTTTTTAAACAAAAAACATTTTTTTTTAAAACCAAAAAAATTAGTCACGGATCTGGTCCGTGACTAAGTTTTTAGTCCGAAATTCTTTTATAAATTTAAAATTTATTTTTTTTATAAAAAAATTTTAGTCACGGATTTATGATCGTGACTAATACGAAATTTCAAAAATTTGAAAATAGGAACCGCAGTTTTTTGAAAATTTTCGAAATTTCAAAATTTCAAAATTTCAAAACTTAGTCACGGATATTTCCGTGACTAATTTGGCCGCATTTTAAAAAAAAAATATTTAGTCACGGACGTGTCCGTGACTACAATAAAAAAAATTAAAAAAAAAATTAGTCACGGATCTTAGCCGTGACTAAAGTGCCGGAGTAGCTATTCCGGTGACAGATTAGTCACGGATCTAGTCCGTGACTAATCCGTGACTACATTTAGTCACGGACTATTTGGCGTGACTAAATTTAGTCACGCCCAAACAGTCACGGATTTAGTCACGGACAAAATCCGTGACTAAAGGAGTTAGTCACGGATTTTTTAAACTAGGGTCCGTGACTAAATCCGTGACTACAACCGAATTTTTTTGTAGTGCCGGTTCAACTCATGTGTGATAATCAAGCCGCAATGCACAGTTGGTGTTCCTTAACTGATGGGTAAAATGGATGAAGTTGTTTGCTAGTGATACAGTGATCCGAACGATTGGCTTTTTGTTTCAAGATCCCATAGATGACGCCAATGTTGATCTTATTCAGTTTTGACCCAACATAACTCTTTGACTGAGCTATTTGATGAAGAAAACGGGGTGTAAATGGCTTAACCGAAGGCTTAAAATAGTGTGTACATATATGTAAACTATGTATTATACTCCCCCATTCAATTTCAAAAGTGATTATTCCGTTTAATATTGATTATAAAGTCTACACATTCAAAAGTAGGTCATAAATCCAACTGATTTTCAAATTCCAAATCGCACTTTAGGGACTGCAGTTGGAGATTTGATTCATTTCTAATCTAACTGAAATAAGAACAAGAGTAATTTACTCTTATATATTCTGACGTGATATAAAGGCATGATTCTTGTAATTGAAGATGGTATGTGTTAGTGAAATCCCCCTTTTAATATACATCTTCGGATCACCATGCAGCTTATTGAATCTGATCAGGCATGGGGAGGTTCAAAGTTTTGATTGATGTAAAACCACCATCAACCACCAGATTCTGCCCGCTGACATATTTGGCATCGTCGGAGGCCAAATAAACGGCGGCGTGGGCGATGTCACTAGGTTCACAATGAGCTCCTTCCAGCACCCCTGACTTGTGTAGCATCCCGGCAAGCACCCGGTCATCGATGTCGGGGAAGTATTCCTTCATTTCTGGTATGGAAAAGGCCGTTGGAATGGCGTAGGGCGAAATGCAGTTCACCCGAATCCCGTGCTTGCATAGTTCAGCCGTGGCAGATTTCATTATTCCGATGACAGAGGACTTGGATATGCTATATGTGTGTTGTGCTAATCCTCCCATTACCTGTTAATTTAATTATCCGCATATAAGTGATATGGCAGATTTCAACTTGATGGTAAGATGGTTATCCTCTATGAAGAGAAGAAACTCTCGGGAAAGAGTATGTTTCTGTTTCAGAAATTCGTTGGAAACTCGCTACTTAACATAAAATTACGTACCCCTGTCACGCTGGCCGTGCACAATATGGACCCCGAACGGCGTGGGATCATCACGCGGGCAGCGTGCTTGATCCCCGCCACCACGCTGCGAACGTTGATCGACATCACACGGTCAAACTCCGCCATGTCCAAGTCAACAATGCTAAATGGGGTCCGGCACGGAATGCCAGCATTGTTGTACATGATGTCGAGTTTACCATGGCAAGACAATGCGAAATCAACAGCGCAGGAGATGTCAGATTCTTTGGAGACGTCACAGGCGATGAAGGCAGCGTTTTCTCCGAGCTCCGTGGCGGTATCTCTGCCCAACTGCTCTTGGATGTCTGCAATGATGACTTTAGCTCCATTGCTGATGAATTTGGTTGCAGTTACTTTCCCAATACCAGATGCGGCTCCAGTAATCAAGGCTACCTTACCTTCAAGTTTCCTTCATCCATTAATTAAACACCAGGTTTAGATTTAAATTTATGAAGCATGGAAACTTTCAGAAAATAATTTCAAATTTCCATGTTTTTGTAATTTTTTAAAATAGAAATGATGAGCACAATAAAGTTATTATTGATTATTGGGAAGCAGAATTAAATGAGGTTCTAAAATGAAAAAGATAGATTGTTTCTTGGAAACGAATGAATTATATTATAAAATACCAATGGTAAAACACTAAAACTATTTTGAAAAATACACTGTTATATTCAGTTTTGAAATATAAATATGTGTGTGTGTACACGCATATAAATTGAGATATTTTCTAATATATTATTAAAATGATACTCCCTCCGTTCCTAAAAATTCTTCCCGGTTTAACTTGGCACGCCTATTAAGAAAGTGGAATAAAGTGGAAATGTGTGGTTGTGGTTGTGTGAGAAAAAGGTAAAATGAATGTGAGCCACACAAATTGTCCAAAAAGGGAAAGTGGGAAGAATTTTTGGGAACGGCCCAAAAAGGAAAGTGAGAAGTATTTTTGGGAACGGAGGGAGTATTTTCTAATAAAAATGTAACTATGTTTACGATAAATGTACATATGTTTGTTTTTTGGAAACTGTACATATGTTACTGTATAAAATTGCATATAATCACAATTATTAGAAATTACTTAAGTTGTTACTTTTTTTTAAAGCAAAATGTCAAACTATATTAATGTAAACAAACGTTGGACTTAACCAAAAGTTCAAAACTCCACCATCACTCTTTCGAAAGACTCCAACTAGACTCAAGAATCACTCTGAAATTACTTAAGTTGTTACCTAAGTCACTATACATAAAAAATCACATTTTTGTTCAGTATCAGTATCTTGATTAGCCATAAAACCATCTATAAGTAAATCAATAAATAAATATCAATAGTAAGAATTGCTAGATCTAACCACTCGCCTCTCTGACAGGATAGAGAATTTCCTGTTGAATGCCTGCAGAAGGAATGATCTAGAGATTGAGAGCTCCCTGTAAAGAATTGTTGACAAGAAGAGTTGTTAAGTAAAATTTCAATAAATGTGAAGCTGAAAAATACAAAATTGCGACTTGGAAAACTTATCATCGTGATCTGCTCATTACAATTCCTGGATGCTGAAATACCAGTGATGGTCCTCACATCATTACTTATATAAATAAATTTATGACAATAAAAGAAGTGAACAAACCTTGGAATGAGCTTGAACATGTTCTTTTCTTCTTTCTGTCCGCTAAATTAGTATAAAGTACGGAGTATCAATTTTGTTAGAGAAAGAGAAGATGAAGTTTTGTGAGTGTGACTTATTATTGTGTGGACAGTGGTGGAACCAGTCCACTACAATTATATTACTCCTCTCCCAAAATGCATAGAGCCTAGTCTCTACAAAATTTTAGGTGAAAGTCTCATCCGCTATCTATCAGCATGTGATTAAAATTCAATTTATATTTTCTCAGTTGGGAGCTCTTAGGGATGAAATGCCATCTTCTTCTATTTTTCGAATAAAGTTTTGTTCAGGATTTAAACAACTAAAAATTGTGTGGTTGAAAGTTGTACATATAAAAGAGAAGAATAAAATGTAATGAACCACAAATTTTTTGTCCATAAGGAAAAATCAAGTTTATTTTAAAACTAATGAAAAGGGAAAGTTTGAAAAAAATAATACGGAGTATAAGACAAACTTTAAAAGAAAGAAGTAATAAATTGCCCTTGAATTGTGGTGTCACAAGACATAAGTAGTCATGAGCAATCACTATTCTTTTCTTTTTCTTACCATCAATCTAGGCAGCCATTCCAGCCAATGGGTTGACATCCACTGACCATTCGGTAGTTACTGTTTGTATAATCAGCTTTATATGTTTAGCTTTATAAGTTTGTTAAGAGTCCTTTCAAAAAAAGTTTGTTAAGAATACAAAAAAGGGTGGAGCTAGGGGTACACACTTTTTGTACACAAAAAGTGTACACTTGTCTGTCTCCCACAGACAAATTGTCTGTCGCGAGATGAGTTGTCTGTGAGACAGACAACTCATCTCGCGACAGACAATTTGTCTGTGGGAGACAGACAAGTGTACACTTTTTGTGTACAAAAAGTGTGTACCCCAATCTTTTTTCTACAAAAAAAAGTGACAAAGAGATATATAAATCCAGGATTATACTCAAAATAAAGAATGTATTTCTGCACCCTGCATTTTTTATATTTAAGTGTTGATATAAATCAGGACGACTGGAACTACGGCCGTCTCCCTCTGAGTTGGGTTTAATTTGTTTCTCGCACACAGGGGTGGAGATAGGGAGGAGCTGGAGGCGGCCACGGTCCCTGCAAGAAGAAAAATTCTTAAGTATATACTATCCTCCGTCTCTTTTTAATCGCAACATGTTCAATTTTACACTATTCACATGTTCTACTTTGACTACATTTTATGTTATTATTTTATGAAAACTGTTATTTTAAAAAAATATTTTTCAATTCATCTCATTACAAATTTTCAAAATCTAATTGTTAAATATTTTTTACTAATAGAGATTAAGATATAATTACGGTCAAAGACGTGCGTTGGCAAGTGTGAAATGTTGACCGTTGCAACTAAAAAAGAACGGAGGAAGTATTATGTATAAATACTTTTAATCTGTAGAAAGTATGTTGATATTTTAAACTTTGCCCTTGCAATATAAAATTCTTAAGGACCGACCCCTTTAATCATAAATGTCTGGCTCCGCCACTGCTCGCACATCTTGTGCGTCGTCGTCAGCATAGTTCGTGAGCCAGGCAATAGCTTCAGCGGCTTCTCTCCTTTGGTTCATGTGGTCAATATTACTGCGAGGTTGCTTTGGGTTGGGAAGAGAGTGTAGCGAAGAAATCAGGACAGGATTTCAGCTGGCACCCAGCTTCCCCTAGGCTTTGTGAGGTCTCTTTGGGATCGACAAATTCCTTCATCGGCAAGGAAGGCAGATCGTCAGACAAAGCGGAGGGGTAAAGACATGGTGGATAACAATGCATGGGACTCATGAGGAGGGCGGAAGATTCAGGATCAGTAAAATTCAGGGCCGGTGACAGTGATCTCCCACGGGCGAAAGAAGACGAAGAGATGTTGATCTGTCCCCTTCTCGAACCACCGCCATGGAGGAATTGTGCGACTAGGGCTTGGAAGACTATTTCTATTTCTGCTTTCGTTTGTTTGTGTCTTTACTTTGAACTACATGTCTACATGTTGCTTTGTCATGTACGTTTATTGTTGTCAGGCTCTTGCATTAGGTTGGGGTAATGAGGGGTTTACTCTAACCACGTTAGACTTATTTAGACCCATTACAGGATCATCAAGTCATATTGCTTTTTTCTGGGTGATTGACTCTAAGTCTGGTTCGAGGGTCGGTGGTTGGAAGTGGTTCTTTTATCTTATTGTTCCCTTGCTGAATGCTTTGATTCAATTTAAGCCGTCTTGTTAAAAAAATCAGGATTGCACGACATAAGCAAAAGCACGCACTATGTATTTACTCCGTATTTTAATACTTAAGCTTATGATAGCACTTTTAAGAAAGGCTTAAATACGTTTTTAGTCCCTGCAAATATGACACACTTTGTTTTAGGTCCCTGCATTGTTTTTTTTGTTTTACATCCCTGTAATATGCACTATTTTGTTTTTAGTCCATGAGTAACTCCGAAATCACTCTACTTAGAACAAGAGTTAAAACAATGCAAAACTAATTATTCACATTTTAAAATTTTGTATTAAAAATCTTCGAAAAAATAAAATTGAATACTTTTTGAATGACACAACGAAGAATTAGAGGAAACCTATAAGTCGGTGTTATTTCGAGGTCAAACGGAGCTTGTTATATTGATGATGGACTAAACAAAAACCCAATATAAATGTCAGGGATGAAAATCAAAAAAATAATTTTGCACGAATGTTAAACAAAATGTGCTATAATTGCAGGGACTAATAACATATTTAAGAACTTAGCACAACTTAGCATTAAATAGCATTGAAATCGATTGATTCTGCTGAGATTGATGGAGTTGTGGCTGAATTGATCGAATCTATTGAGTTATGAAAATATTGTATTTAAAATATATACGGAGTATTATTAATACTCTAAAAAAATACTAGTATATTACTCCCTCCGTCCCGAAAACAACCTCTCGGTTTGACTTTCACACACTTTTAGAAAATAAAGTTGACTTTACTGTAGAGTGCACCGTTTTGCACTGCTAAAACCCTGTTTGGCACTGTTTAAACACTGTTTGGCACTGTTTAAACACTGTTTGACACTGTTTATCACTTTTTTTATGTAGATAATTTGCTAAATAAGGAAAGTGTTGAAGTGTGAAGTTAATTTTGGGACATTCATTTAAGGAAAGTGGGAAGTTGTTTTTGGGACCGAGGGAGTATTAAATTTTAAAACTTTATTAATAAAATAAAGAAAAATTACTAAGATGATTCTCTACAATCACCTTAGCTAATTTAGCCAAAAAAAATTCAATCTAACTTATACTGATTATTACACAATTTGGTGCGTGAAAACGAATATTTCTTTACTGAAAAAGTTGATTAATAAAAACAAGTTATCAAGCCAGCTCTTAGTTTTTACGAGAAATTGTACTCCGTATTAAAATAGAGTAGCATTTATAGACAGACACGAATGAGATGCATGAGGCGAAATTAAAAAGTACTAGTAGTCATTAAAAGATTGAAAATTAAAGCAGTTAACACGCATATGCCTATATTATCATGGCAAAACTGAGGACTGAGGTGAATAATGGGTACATAACTGCGCTGCAAAACCATACCTTGAAGCTTGAGCGGTGACTTGCTGCCGTACGTAGCCTGCGAGAAGGCCTTCAACGCCCACGCCCTCTACCGTATAGAACAAAGAGCAAAGCTGCAATTAAGGGTCGTGAATAAAGAAGCAACCAGTTCTCGGCGACACCGCTCCCAGGCCACTATATGTTACTGACTTACTGGCAATTTGTTTTTTCTAATCAGTGATATGGTGACCGCCAATAGAAGAGTACATGTCACTGTGGAGCTTGTGGGTGAGTGGGTGGGTGTACTTCTGTCATACACATGATAGAGAGATCTATCATTGTCCGAATAATATGGGTGGGTGTGGACTATAAACTACTCTCCAAAACCCTTACACAGTTAAATCTGGATTTGATCATAGTTAGCCTCGTCAGTACTGGCTCCTAAAGGATGAATCCAGAAAGAATCATTGGGAGCAAGAACTTCCTCCTCTCCCCTAAGTGTCTGGCGGATTCCGAGCCCGAGACCAAACTTTAGGCAAGGTAACTTTGCACCCAACGAACTGGAGTGCTCGGTTTACTGTTTTTTTTTAAGTAAACACTAGAAACTGGTTCACTCCACGATGCTAATTCAAGAAGAGAATGAGTCATCCTTGTTTGAAAATCAAATGCATCTATTGCAATTTGAGAAAATCCACAATTATCATTTCTTCTTCCATCATTGTCAGTCATTCGTGCACTTGCTCGAGTTCAACTTTCCCTCTCTGGGGTCTGGGCGTGTTCTGCAATTCTTGTCTCCATACTCGCCTGCTGCTTCATCTATTGAAAAAAAGGGAAAAGACGCAAATAAGTCCATGTACTAACCAAAAAAGGTCAAATAAGCCCTTATTTAGGAGGTTTTGTCTGTCCGTCGTCATTTGGGGTGGTTCCCGGTTGAATTTTTTGATGAATTTTTTTGATCAAAATAAGATTGAAAAATAACTGTGCAGTTATCTTCAAGAATTCATTTGAATGCCTTCCCGATTGAAGTTTTAGCTCAAATTTGGTATGCGTAAACTAGACTTGATGAATAAGATGATCAAAAAATTTCATCAAAAAATTCCACCGGGAACCACCCCAAATGACGACGGTCGGACAAAACCTCCTAAATAAGGGCTTATTTGACCTTTTTTGGTTAGTACATGGGCCTATTTGCACCTTTTTCCAAAAAAACGAGAAGGCAGCGCCCTTAGACAATTATGTAGTATAAGACTAGCTTAGCACCTCAAAAGTAGGTAGATTAAGAATAGTGAAAGATGATATGAATTATTGAAGATATGCTGAGAAAATAGTGGAATAATTTAATGCCGTGTAGGATAAATCTAAAAAATGTAATTGTAATAGTGTATTATTTTCATAATTATTGAGGTTATGATGAGAAGATTCATAAATGTTTTTTTTTGTTACAGACGAAAAAGAAAAGTGAGAAGTTTTTTTTTGTTACGGAGGGAATATCAAATCAAAACTTGTACGATTAATGTTTTAAGAGAGTGAGTTTTTATTATCCTAAACATATCTCATGTCACAATATTAATTTTACAAACATATCACAATGTTAAAATACTCCGTAATATCGATGTTAAATAACATGTCACAATATTACTCAACAAATGTCACATTTAAATTACATTGAAGGAGGACTGCTCAGGTCCAGCCGGAGGGACGGGAGCAGCCGTCCGAACATTACTGTTTGGGGCGGTTCCCGGTGGAATTTTTCGATGCAAATTTTTGAGCATGTTCCTCATCAAGTCTAGTTTGTCCATACGAAATTTCAGCTCAAAATTCGACCGGGAAGGCAGTCAAATAAATTCTTGAAACTTACTGCATTTTATATATGCGCAGAATGTGCAGTAAGCTTCAAGAATTTATTTGACTGCCTTCCCGGTCGAATTTTGAGCTGAAATTTGGTATGGACAAACTAGACTTGATGATGAACATGCTAAAAAAAATTCATCGAAAAATTCCACCGGGAACCGCCCCAAATAGTGAAGTTCGGACGGCTGCTCCCGTCCCTCCGGAGGGACCTGAGCATTTGTGTACATTGAAGTAATGAGAAATAACACCATTTTTGTTAAATCATCTAATTGCTAAAAATAAAGTCTTCTTTGGATTATGCTTGATCTGTCATTTTTTTAGCTTCTTTGACTATGCAAATAAGTGAAATTATTGTTTGCTAAATGGCCGGTTCACTTAGCTTATGAAACTCAACCAACCCAAAACCAAAACGCTACCATGTCTACATAAATAAGAGCTCTTTTGGTAATACCTAAGTTGGTTAAATTGGTTGATGTTGTTGATTTATGAAAAAATTATATTTAAATTATACGGGATATTTATTAATAAAACAAAGAAGAAATTAAAATGAAAAAATAGTTAAAATGATTGTTTTAACCAGAAATTAAACTAATCTAAAATGAAAATGTGTTGGGAATCAAGCAATATCGAATCAAAGATGGACGAGTTAATATCGGATATAAACTGTATATTATAAATGAATTATCTCAATAAAGAGCTTTGAATACAGAATAGTAGTATGTATGTGCTTTGATCGTGAGTGATCATGTATTCCAATGAAGGTGAACTAATGTTATTTATAAACTGAAATTTTCTTCCTCCCCAAGTGTAGCAACTGCTTTCCTATTTTTCCTCCACGTGCTAACTCCCCTATTGACTGGTTCTTGGTCTCTTTAATTCCTATCCCCAATTTAAATGTTATCCGTAGCACTTTGGAGGGATTCGACTTTCTCTTGGGCTGCCTGTACCAACTTGCTTTGGTGTATCATTTTGACCCACCCGAAAGTGTATTATTTTCCTAGGCCCAACATTTGCCCCCTTTCGAGAAGTTGAGGCATATGGGCGCACATGTGAATACGTTAAGCGTCAACTTGTCGAAATCTTGAAAACATCTATACACGTCATCCTTGAATATAGCTCATATAAACTCGTCATTTGTAAGATGAGATATGCCATCAACCTGCCATTTGTGTAACAAGACGCTTTTGTTAACTCGTCGCGTATCTGGTGAGACATGTCGTCAACCTTCGTTCAAGTTGATGTCGACACTTTGGTTGGCAATTATGATTTCATCCCTCGTTGTATAAATGATGGGTTTGCCTCTGTGAGTGTAACTGTAACCTGCAAAAACTTTAAGCACCGTTTCGTTTGTTGCTTTAGTAATATTGTCGGCATGAATATTTATGATGTATGTCAATGTCGTTCAAGTTGTCCCCTTCCATTTTGGAACTTGTGTTGTCGTGCTCTTGGAGCACGTGCTTCTGTTGTGTATTTTCTGTAGCTTTGGATGTGGTTGTTTTTTCACATGATGATGTCACTTGTACGTGTACTGTTGTTGTTTTGTGTTTGTCTGACTTCGATGTTGTCAGCATTTGTGATGTGCGATCTGTCTGTTGTTTTGGCCAAAACATTGATGAGGATCAGTGGTGTTTATACTCATGTTTAGTGTACATGAAAACTCCACCTCTTAATCTAAAATCCTGTAAGCCCCCCGTCAAATGTGTTTTGACACGTTGTAAGGCTTTGTTTGATGTATGCCCCCTGTCAATTGTGTTTTGACGTGTTGTAAGGCTTCGTAGTAAGGGGATTGCGTTTAATTATCGTTAGCGATTGTCGTTGTGCGTGTATAGTACTGGTTGTCTCTCATTCCGTCAATATCCTACATACAGACATGTTGTCAGAGTCTGGCCGTTGGCTTTTAACCAACGGCCCTCCGACACTTAAGTTAGTGATCGTTTATAGATAAATGAAAGTAATAAATTAAGAATATGTATATGAAACTAAATATCTATCGTCAGAACCTGTCTCTAGTCAGACGATTTCACTCATCTCATCGGGTTTATTACCTGACGACATGCCCCCTGTCCGACGACTTCAATCATGTTGACTGGTCTAGTTCGTCGTCACGGGAACGACAACAATATGTAAAAGAAAATAATAAACTAAAAGTGAAACAACTTTAAAGGTACCGTACTGCAGCCTTTTAGAACCTGCCTACCATCAGACGACATGCCCCCCGTCCGATGACTTCGATCATGTCATCTGATCTATCCAACGACTTATTCCTCAGGCCTCGAATAAGGCTTTCCATGTTTGTAGTCATGTCTCCTTGGAGGTTCTGACTTTCCGTGCCCCCCGTCTTGTTCAATTTGTCTGCGACGACATCGTAAGTCTTCTTCTAAACGGATGAAAGCCAGTGCCCTTACTTGGACATCTTCGAAGGACCGACTAGGGTGTTTCGTCAACTCCTGATATAACTCCGAATCCTCCAGCAGCCCCCTTCTGAATGCTTCAATTGTCGCCAGTATGTGACACCTGGGGATTGACACCTTCTCCTTGTTGAATCGGTGCAAGTAATCCCTTAAGGATTTATTCCGTCGCTGGACTACTTGGTAGAGGTCACTAGTCTGCTTCTCCAAGGCTCGGCTGCTTACAAACTGTTGATTGAATAAGTTGACCAGCTCCGCAAATGAATTGATGCTGTCGTTCGGCAGATTGACGAACCATGTCAACGCTGGTCCTGTCAACGTTGTCCCAAATGCCCGACACATGCAAGCTTCTCTCTAATGTGGTCTGACCGAGACGGCCAACATTTGTTGTTTGTACTGAGCGACATGTTCTACCGGATCAGAAGTCTCGTCGAACAGTCTCATTGAGGGGGCGGCGAACTTCCTCGGAATCTCGACATCGGTGATATGTTGTCCGAAGGGTGAGTCTGCGTAACAGGTTTGCGTCGCCATGTCAAGCGGGCGTGGGACTCCAGGTACGCTGTTGATCTTCTCTCGCAATTCCCTCAGTTCTTCCATGATGACGGCCAAGGGATCTGTCAAGTTTGTTTGTATCTGTGGACCCGCTGCTTCGGGAGGCATTTCTGTCTGAGTTATCCTCTGCTCGGTTGGCGACTGTATGGTGACGACCTCTGGCTCCTGACACCTTTGAATGTTGATGTCGACACGTCTGGGCATGTTGACATGGCTTGGAACTTGTCACCTATGGTTGTTGATGTCGACATATCTGGGAATGTCGACATGATTTGGAACATGTTGTCTCTGGGGCTCTGCAAACATATTTCGGAATTTGTTCCTTCTAGGAATTGGGGGTGGAATGGAACGAGTTGAGGGCCCTGCTCTTCCAGATGTGTCGGCCCCGGAGTGAGGGATGAAAGGTTCCGTTGTAGCCGGAATCGAACCCATGTCCAGTCTTGTCACCACAGTAGCTACATTCTCGCCCCGTCGTGAGCTGTAGGCTATGGATGCCACCGATTGCACCTGAGATCTCAAAGTGTCATTTTCATCTTGGAGGAAGGCCATTCGTTGACGCATTTCCTCCCGGACAGCTTCTAATTGTGTTGCATCAGAACTTTTAGATGTGCGGAGCTCCTCTCGGATGGCTTCTAGTTGTGCTTGAATCTCATTAAACAGGGAGTTAGAACTTTCGGCCATAGTTGATTCTCTTTTTGCAAGAATTTCCCACAGACGTCGCCAATTGTTTTAACCAGAAATTAAACTAATCTAAAATGAAAATGTGTTGGGAATCAAGCAATATCGAATCAAAGATGGACGAGTTAATATCGGATATAAACTGTATATTATAAATGAATTATCTCAATAAAGAGCTTTGAATACAGAATAGTAGTATGTATGTGCTTTGATCTTGAGTGATCATGTATTAATGAAGGTGAACTAATGTTATTTATAAACTGAAATTTTCTTCCTCCCCAAGTGTAGCAACTGCTCTCCTATTTTTCCTTCACGTGCTAACTCCCCTATTGACTGGTTCTTGGGCTCTTTAATTCCTATCCCCAATTTAAATGTTATCCGTAGCACTTTGGAGGGATTCGACTTTCTCTTGGGCTGCGTGGACCAACTTGCTTTGGTGTATCATTTTGACCCACCCGAAAGTGTATTATTTTCCTAGGCCCAACAATGATCCTCCCAGTAAATTCACCGGATATAGGGTTTGTTTGCAAATGCTTGTGCTTAAATAAAAGCACTTTTTGGGAAAAAGTGATTAGTAGTAAAAGTTGGTAGTGTTTGGTAAAATAAGTGCTTTTTGTGTAATAGAAAAAAGTAAAAAGTAGATTCTACACGAAAACCGAGAAAGTAAAAGTTGGTAATGTTTGGGAAAATAAGTGCTTTTTTCTTAGAAAAAAGCCACAATCACTTATTTTAAGTGATTGCAAACAGAGCCATAAACAAGTAAGCTAACATTAGCTTTTCGTTTCTAATTTTTCTTATTATTATGACATAATTGAGGCAAACAATGTCACAAAAGTAATGTTGAAAATTATTGGAAGACGCAATGTTTTAGGGGTGTATTGACATTTAACAATTAAAAAGCAATGAAATTTCTGTTAAACGCAATGAAAAGATCTCGCGGGTTCAGTTACTCCATTTGGCTACCGACGGCCTCATAAACACCAGCAGCACCGCGACGAATGAACAATGGGCGGCGACTCTGCATCAGGCAAAACATCGCTTTCCTTTAGTCACGATTATCATTTCTTAAATTTTGTAATTTCTTGTACGGCTAACTGATTGCACCTTTCGTGTTCACTCAGATCATAGGAAGGTAAATCAAAGGCAGAAATGGGGCCTGTCGACGTTAGATGTTTTGTACCACTTCGGTACCAGTGGGATCTCCGTTGCCGTTGCAACTGGCGTTACTCACCCTCTAGGTACAAACACGCGAACCTAAATGTCATTTTCTTCAGTAATTTGATATTAAACCTGGTTTCATTTAGCATTTGTAAAAGTATGCATGCTCAGTTCTTAACTATATGAACATTGTGGTCTGGAACTATGGAAGTATGCTACTATATGGCGAAGGAAAAGATAATACTCAGCGCACATTGAGGATCTGGTGCGCTGAAGCTTTAAGAACACATGAAACTTCAATTTACTTTTTCATATGCAATGATGATTAATTGATACAGATTACGGATTAAGAAGTGCCTAATACTCAGCAATAGCCTCAGAGAAAGATACTTCATATACTAAGGTGTTTCCAGAATTGTGCGTGGTTTGATCGATGATGTGTGTAAATTAAAAGGAAATTGTCAGTTAGTAGTCACTTACTCACTTATGTAACTTTACTTGTTTCCAGTGACGGATTTGGAATTCAAGTTTTGGGAGTTTAATTCTTTTATACAACTAGAAATCTTAAGAGCAATAAATAATTATGTTTCATTTATATATAGATACTTACAGTGGCGGATCCAGAAACAAAAGTTGTTGGGGGCAAAAGTTGTTAAGAAATACTGCTATAAAATTAATCACAATTATTGCTTGTGTTAACAAAATACATCCAAATTGTTCCTATAAATTTTCTTCTTTTGTATAAGATCCATAACCTATGTTGCACGGAAACTCTTGGGAAAGAGTACGATTCCCGTTTCGGAAACTCTCGGAAATTTTTTGGAAACTCTCCAAATAAGCCTTTTTGAGCAAAAGTTGACGTTTCCCGTTTCTCGTTTCCTTGTGATTTTCGCGTTTTCGTGCAACATAGTCCATAACCATTACGAGTATATTTTTAACAATTTCAAACATATCCATTTCAATAAAAAAATCAATCACTTAAAAGGTATCATCAATTCTGTCACACAATAGTCTCCATTATTTTCATAGAGATGAAGCAACTCTCTACGTTTCTTGTGACAATGGACAAAATCAATGCTAATTTTGATTGAAAATTGCTATAGAGACACTACTATTTGAACTACCCAATGTTAATGAAAGATTGGTAACCAAGTATCTCTTCATTAAGTCTCTAATTAAAAATGCAATTAATACAAGTATTAAGTTAGTTATACATTAATACATTTTATTTACCAATCTAAAATAACACATTATTTAGAACTTTTAATTGATAACTTCCTTAGCAAGTCATCAATTAAAATTAGATAAATTAGATGTAAGAGTTTTTTCACTAATCACTAATACTTTAAAATAAACAATAAACGTGCAGTTATGGAATGGCCGAATCTTTATATTTTCAAAAACACAACATTTCTGGTAAAAAAAACATAACATTAAATGCTTACAAACAAAAAATAAGTAATCCCAATGTATTGAATTTCACTACAGATTTATAATTCCACTAACAAATTAGTTATAACCGGCCCATTCGTTAATAGTACCTATCCCAAGCCTCATCGGAGTGAGCTAATATTAAAACAAACTGAAATTTCAGTTAGAAGGCACGTTATAGGGGGCAACACTTATTTTTTATTGGGGGCAATACTTACACTTTTTAAATTTTCTAAGTACATTATATGGATTAGTGAGATTTTGTTGGGGGCAGCTGCCCCCCCTTCTTCCTCAATAGATCCGCCCCTGGATACTTACATGTTTTTCAAAAAATAGGGTGTTCATGTGAACACTTTAGAACCACTATGGCTCTGCCACTGCTTGTTTCTGAGATTTTTGGCCATGGATTACAGTAAATTGGTAACAAATGTAGATGAATGGTAAACTCCATGTTAATAACTCAAATAGCTGATCTTGGATGTAGATGTTCTCAAAGTGAGATTGCAAATGCAGCTTGTTGGGCAGAGAGGTCCCTTGACTGGAATGGTAATAAAGAATATTTTCTAGTTTCGCCTTATTTTAGAGGTCAAAGGTAAGTTAGTAGATGCTTTTTGCTTTGCAATACAGGGAAAGCTTTCTGCTCATGTTGTAAGGGATGAAGGGTTCAGATCCTTGTATCGGGGACTATCACCCTCACTGATGAGGTCAGTTCTTTACGGCGGCCTCCGTTTAGGCTTATATGAACCATCCAAATATGTCTGTGAAATGGCTTTTGAGTCAAATAACATCGTAATGAAGATTGCATCTGGAGCATTTTCTGGTGCTATTGCCACAGCACTGACTAATCCAGTGGAAGTACTAAAGGTACATTATGTGGACTGTGGATAATGACCTCATAGTGGTGCTTCATGTTTTTCTCACTGCTGCTATGTTTCTCCAGGTTCGTTTACAGATGAATATGAAATCAAATAGAGGACCTATTCATGAGCTGCAGAAAATTGCTTCAGAAGAGGGGATCACTGCTCTTTGGAAAGGGATTGGGCCTGCAATGGCCAGAGCTGCTGCTTTAACTGCGTCTCAATTGGCAACTTATGATGAAACCAAACGCGTAAACTTCTGAGAACCGTTTTCGAAGACCCATTTCATTACTGTAGTTTTTAAAATACTCACAAAGTCACAAGTCACAGTCACCACTTATTCTGTGCTTCTTTGATTGATGCAGGTATTACTGAAGTGCACTTCTCTTGAGGAAGGATTTAATTTGCATCTCATGTAGGTTTACTTTCCTTCATTACAACCATGGACAGTGGTGTAGCCAGGACCTTAATTTTTTGAATCAGGAGTGGGTTGGAAAAATAATTTGAAATTGCCCATTATAGGAATACAACATAGACCAAGCTCACAAACAGAACTACTTATGTTTTATTCCTTAAGAAGACTTATTTTGTCCTGCTGAAAGATTAAAAATGGTTAAAGTCTCTTTTTTAGGAGTGAATGAGTCATTTTTTGGGAAAACAATGGTGGTCCTATTTTGGTTTGGTCCTATCCAGGGAACTTTCTCAAAAATAATTCTAAAAGTTTTTGTCACAAAAAATATTACATATGAAGAGATGTTTTTTACCTAATTTTGGGCGGCTTGGACCTGGGTTGGCCTCCTAGCTATGTCCGAGCTATAGGTAGCATTGTGTGTAAACCTAAAACTATGGGAGCTAATTGGAGCATGTTTGGGACAACCTATAATCTTGATAATAAGCTGTTGTGAAAATGCTGCATTTGGAAGCGGTAGCTGAAATCTGTAATCCATTTATTTGAAAAAAGTTTCTCTCTTGAATATGGAAATTTTGTAGATTATGATTATTCGACTGCTTTTTGTTCTCTTTAAGATATTTTTCATACTTTTTACCTCATAAAAGCTGCTTTTTTGTTGCAAGGTTGCGCCTAAAAAAATTTAATTAGTTCCACAACACTATTTAGCAGCCTTACCAAACAAAAATTGATTTCAATTATAATTGATTGCAGCGTAATCGATTATACATATAAGTTATGTAATTGATTGTTGAATTAATTTAATTTTTAGCTATCTCAAACAAGCTCTTTTCAGTTGCATGAAATATGTTCCTTAAAATTTACTTCCCGTACTACACAATGGCTTTTATTTCAACCCCTTCACTCGATTCTTGTTTTGCATGGTATGAAGCTCAAGTACATTAGCAGGCGCTGTGAGCACCCTCATAACGGCGCCCATTGATATGGTTAAAACTCGTCTTATGTTGCAACGAGAATCTAAGAGTGCTGGGAGTTACAGAAGTGGACTACATTGTGCATATCAGGTGCTGACTCTTTCTCTTTCAGCATAGCATAGTCACTTACAATTTTTGTAAGAGCTTAAGCTTCTCTAATTGTATCTAACATTCCTATAACTGTGATTTCAGGTACTCCTCAGTGAAGGTCCTCAGGGTCTTTACAAGGGGTAAGTTGACAAATAACTGTACCAATTGATATCTCAGTACGTGCATATTTTCTGCTTGTTATCTATTAATTGACTAGTACTTTGACCCTCATTACAGTGTGATAATATTTGAACAGTCCATATATATATCCACTGCATTACTTTGTTTTTTGTAACAATGACTGCACCGTGCGCCTTAATTTCAAGTGACCTCTAGAGGTCCTTGATAGCAACCAATTTGGAAGGAAAGGGAACTACTTAGCAGGGAGTGTGGGTCCTTGGTTACCGACAAGGGAACCAATTAGCATGAAAGGTGGATCTTATATCAGGCTATAAATAAAGACATCCATCTTGAATACAGACAATGTTTCTGATGTATAATCAGCTAGTGCTGATCGGGATATGTTTTATATCTGCTTAGGTTAGTTACTTCTTTCATCTAATGGTCACTTACAAATATCTTATTTCCTACTCCTTTGTGTTATGTACCATGTGCTCCTGAGGCTCTAGCAACATCTTTTTTACACCCTTCATTCGTATAGTTAGGGCATTCCTTGACTCATTTTAGAGCCCAATAGTCCACTCTATGTATCAAAACATTAAAAATGTGTCCAAATCAATGCTGTCTTGTTCTTGCTTTCCATATATTTAATACTCTGTACTCGGCTACTTCCACTTTCACATTCACATTTCTGATACACTCATCTGCTTCATTAGATCTTTCTTATTAGTTCAACATTCATATCCATATAGTTTAAAATCCTTCAGAATTAGGGCATGCCAATATATTTCATAATTAATTATATGTTCATAAAGATTTTGTTTAGCCGAAGAGGCATGCCTATATATTCAGAGTAGTTAGAGTTTCCATTATTAAGTTAAGTTTGACATTAATCAAGAGTACTTGACTTTGAACTATGTGTATCAAGAGTAGTCCTTAAGTCATGCATTATTGGTTGCGGATAAATTCAGTGACGGACGGAGAACTTGGTGGGGGGGGGGGGCAGTGCATTACTACAAGGATATACTGTTAACAGACCACTCCCTCTGCCCCAAGCCCCCAAAAGATGATTCCCTTTCAAGAATGTGACATCATCACATGATAAATAATACGGAATACATAGTATGTCGCATGGCACTAAATCTCACACAGAGAAGACGGTGGCCACACTTTCTCTTTGTTTTGGCTTTCATATGTGAGTGGCTTGGTTGTGAATGTTGAAATATTTATATGTTGGCACTTGGCAGAGGCCTTGCGATATTTGCAAGGTTGGGTCCACAGACGATGATCACCTTTATAGTTTGCGAAAAGCTGCGCGGACTAGCAGGATTAAAGGCAATGTAAGGCCTCTTTATGGTTGTATTTTTATCCTTATCTGGTGCTTCTTGCTGCTGGCTGCTGAATATGCTGTTGGTACGAACATCTCTCAACCTGACCAGATTATTATGTTTCCCCCTTTATATATACATGTAGATACAATCTATTTGTCCCGGTACATTTTTTCCATTTTTTGGCTGATGGATAATGGGTAAGTTCGGAAATAGAAGTGAAAAAATTGTATTTCGATTAGGTTCCACCATCCATCATCACTAGCTACCATTCTTCCAATAAACTTTTGTAGATGAAAATAAAATATTTTTCTCATTTGGAGGACTTGTATGTATCTATATTTGTTGTAATTGTAATACACTAGTAATTTTATTTTTCTTACTCTCAGGCACATTTGAAGTTTGTTAATTATTAATAAATGCTATAAATCATAAATGTGTATGTACTATTAATACACCAACTTGATATGAAATGCCGTATGCTTGGTGTAATGTTCATTAAAATAGACAGATCTTATGGGTGAGGATTCTCTATAATATAATTGGTTAGTTAGATTTTAATAATCAATGAAAAATATTTATGTATTAAAAAGTTACTCTTAATACCTAATCAATCACAGCAAACGATACACACGACAATTAAGTACAATAAAGTACAGTACATCAGGTTTACTTTGTCTTTTGATGTTTAAGCAGTACTAATGAATTTATACTATGAATTAAGCAAAATAATATGGAGTTAAAGGATGTTTGATTGGAATAAATTTGGGAAAAGCATCATGTAGGACGCAAAGTATATACTGGTTTAAAATGATGGAAAGCTCGGTTGACTTGGTTTAGTTGTTGTTTTGTCATCTTTCAAATAAATGGGAAGTGATATTCCTTTTATTAGCGTCAAAACAGTAAATATTGAACTTAGTAACCACATCATGAAAAACTGCTTGAATTGGAACTTTTGCAATTTGCGTTGAAATGGGAAGGCAGTGTTCTCTTATTGGAGGAGGATTAGGCGGGACAGTCTGGCGCCTTTAACATTTTTTAGCCATAGCTGATAGGAGTGATAGCCCATAGGCCTCCTCCTCTGCACTTGTCTTACCCCTCGACAAAAAACATTTCATAGAGCCATTCCCTCAGTCTCAAGCCTCCCCCAATCGATTATTCCATCACAATAATACATGGGAAATTGGGAAAGTTGCTGGAATGAGAGTAAACAATTTTTAGAGTTCCAAAATCATACAATTGTGTTTTTCTTCCAAAATAATACTCCCTCCGTGGCTCCGTCCCCAATTAAGTTCCTAGTTTGACTTCACACATATTAAGAAAATAAATTTGACTTTACTGTAGAGTGCACTGTTTTGCACTGTTCAAACACTGTTTGACATTGTTTGGACACTGTTTGGCACTGTTTTGATGTAGATAATTTGCCAAATAAGGAAAGTATTGAAGTGTGAACTTAATTTAGGGACTGCCCAAAAATGAAAGTTGAAACTTAATGGGGGGCGGAGGGAGTACAATTTATTGTCATCTTGGAGTAAATCGTTATGGTACTAGGTATAAACGTAGCAATGTTTTTCAATCATGATAATTTAGGGCAATTTTATTTCAGGAGAAAAACACAACAATTTTATTCATATTTAGGGCAATTTCCATAATGTATCCATAATAGTTACATGTAATTTGTGACATGGTCACGTGTTTAATAGCATGTCACACGCCACTAAGTTTCTCATTCAAGACAATGCACACACTATTTCTTCTTTATTTTCTTTCATATGTGATTAGACGAGATCAAATTTGAATAGATCATATCAAACTGGAACAGACTAACCCAAACTAGGCTATCATTTAAAAGATACTATTTCCATCCATAATAAAGTTCATATACTTCATTTTGATACGTCCCTAAATAAATCATTTTTCCTTATTTGGTAAACAAAATATATTAGTCGATTATACTACTCCGAGTAATTATAATTATAATTATAATTATAATTATAATTATAATTATAATTATAATTATAATTATAATTATAATTATAATTATAATTATAATTATAATTATAATTATAATTATAATTATACAGTGGTAAAGAGTGAAATATACAGTACTACATAATATTTATCACAACAAAAGGCCAATTTTTTATCTGAATGAAAAAAATCTAATTTTCATTCTGTGAATGTCAACTGAGAGACTTCTTAAAAGGACAAAAGGGAGCCTAGAATAGAGATAAACTAGGTTACAGACCAAACTTAAACAAATAAGACTAGACTATTTCAATCTCGAACAAAATATATGGAACAAAAACACCCAGTTCTAATGAATAGAAAATTCGAGTTCCAATAAGCAAATCATTAATCAAATCAAAGGGCTTTAGTAGGAATTTGTATTATGCCTCAATAATAAATATACTTGAGTTCCAAGGGATTGAAATGTGTAAATTGCATCACGTCTTTTAGGGATATATAATTATAAAATTGAAGTATTGTGAGCTATGTTGCACGGATACGGATATAGATACGCCGATACGCGGATACGGGTACGACGATACAACAACTTCAGTATTTATAGGATACGGGTATGAGGGTATATTTATAAATAATAATAATAATAATAGTATAGGGTATAATTTACAAATATATCTAATTTAGAGGTTCATAAATAAATTAATAACAGTACCAAAAATTAACAATTATAATAAATTTTTCAAATATTAGACTACAATAGCTAATGTACTAATATTTCTACTTAAATTCAAATAATATTTTTGGTTCTCTATTTGCATTTACATCTAAGTCTTTTAACAAGACTAGTTTCAATTAATGTTCATCAAGCGACAAATTGGCGAATTATAGCATTCCAATGTTTTCTATACTCCCGAAATTATTTTTACTAATGTTCCACATCTTGTAGTCGCTTGGCGGCTACTAAATTTTCGTCATGTCATGTGTGAAATCAGAGTTATAAGGTTAGATATGTGTATCGGCTCTGGGATACAAGTATCAGAAGTATCCATATTTTTAAAAATAAGTCCAATACTTTGATTAAATTACGGATACAAACTCAATACGTACATGACGTGTATCGATGAGTATCGATATCGGATACGCGGATACAGCGTCAGGGTGAAGTATTGGTGCACATGAGTGTAGGGGTTGATTTTTATTACCAGACCCTCAAGAGCTAACACATTATTTTTTTATGTTGTGATAATCTACCAGACTACAACCACCAATCACACTTTGAATTGTGTAAATTGCTTAATTGCATCACGTCTTATATGTTAATTTTATTAGCATGCAAATTACACTTTGACGGATCATGATTTTGTGATCTTTGAAGGGGGGAATAACAAGACGACAAATCATCCTATATCACATAGACAACCTATATAGATGACTCGATCACAGATTATGAGTATACATTTAAGTTCATGTGGAATTTTCTATAGCAGTATTCAACTTAATATGAATAATAAGAACTTAGATATAAAAAACTAAACAAGCATTATTAAGAAAGAATGGGTTGAACTATATTAAGAATATACAGAGTAATACACAACAATCAGAACAATCAAGTTGTTTGGGAGTTTGAGGGGAAAGAGAAGGGAAGACTTAAGTGGTTGGAAGGGGAATGGATGGGAAGTTAAGGACATCCTTTTTCTTGTTTGGCTGTAGTAAATTTGAAAAAGAGAGTTTTAGAAGAAATAATTAATTGAAAAACATTTGTGAGATATGGTGAAGTCAAGTAGTTGGATTGATGTTCATTTAAAAATTAAAATTTAGCTTAAATTATCATTTAGTTTTTTATCATTAAAACATGTCTCTATTCATATCAAAAGATTCAGGATCATTACATCAAATAAAGGGAAAATAAACCTGACACCAACTAAACTCCAACAACTACGGCTGTAAACCATATGATCAGACTTTGAGACGGTCACCCCTGAAAGAGCAACACTAATCGCTAACCATGTATTGGGCTTGACACAGCCAAACCTGTTCCCATAGATCCAACCATACCCAATGACATAAAGAGAGGCTAAAAATTCAAACAAACTGTCAAAACCAACAATAAAGACGGACACAAGAAAATAAATGACAAACAGATAGAAATTACTAAGAAAACTTTCACGGATTCTAGCACCTCGTATAACCCATGGTGGTGGTTCGGGAAGAGGTCGTACCACTGGTACCATGCTAATTGATCCTCCATTGTCGAACGCAATCTGGCCTACTCGAAGTCCTTGCAACACTCCTCGTCCCGCACTCGTAGCTACATCACCCCTCACGGCCATCTTCTTCTCTGTCGACCCCTCCACCTCGACAAAAGAGAATTGATTCCCTGCTCTCGCCCGACCTCACGATCAACAAATCAACTACGAAGTAACAACGAAACCTCGCTCGACTCCACCAAACAGCGGAAGCAGACTTTCGTGGATGAAGATCGCCGAGGAGAAACCCAGCCGTCCTTCATATAACTGCAGACTGCAAAAAAGCTCTAAGGGTTGCGAAACCCTAGAGAGAAGATACGTATCTAAGGACCAATCCGTTCGTCTCTTAAATTGTCATTTAGTTAGTTATCTTTAAAAATCCTTCATTTTAAAGGAATTTAAAAATTGAGCATTTGAGAAGTTTTGGAGGGTCACAAACAACCTTCCAAAACCATTCCTCCACAAATTTTAAACTCTCAACCACAAATAAGAGAGTCATCAACTCTCACAAGTTTTCCTCTCTCTCAAAAATCAACTCCCAAACACACCTTTAGTGACTGAATGATGGCACCCTTGGGTCAAGTGCTCGAGTTGTTGTGGTTCTGAATTCATTTATAATACTTCTTCCGTCCCTGAATTAATTTGCAAAGTAACTTTTGTTGTCAAACAAATTCTTTTTATTCACGCAAATTAGGAAATCAATTTTTAATTGTATTCTAATATGGACTTTGGAATTTTATAGAGATTTTAATGTAGTTTATAAACATTCAAATATTAATTATTAAAATTGAATTAATTATTAATAGAGAAGATTTAACTTTAACATTGATTGACGAGAAAATGTTGACTTTGCAAATCAATTTGAGACCAAGTGAATAATACTACGTCACAACTTAGAAATATTCAAAACACGTCTTTGTCAATTGTGTCCCATTTTAAATTGTTCCAAATTAAATTATTCCAACGAAAATTTAAACTTCTTAAATTAAACTTTGAACATGTAACATTAATCATGCACTATAACAATGCATATCTATACTTGGAAAAATTATTGAAATAGGAGTAAAAAGGTGTGAGAATTCTAAAATAGGATTGCCATATGTCTATTCCTTAAACAAGTGAAATTACCGTCATGTTTGGAAAATTTTCGTAATGTTGAAAGTCTGACACCGCCAATGAATGACAGTAATTTTTCTCATTTAGGAAATAGAAGCATGCCCGTAATATTTTGGAATATACAAACATTTGTAGTCATATTTAGGACAATTTTCTATAAAGTTAGGATGTTTTTAATCGGATTTGAATTTTCGGGTTTGACTTGATCTGATCTAAACTGGTATGGTATGGTAAATGTCTAGACCATATGTAAATTATGACTGTCGAAGTCTAATCTGATTTTTTTAAGTCTGTTCTAGTTTGAAACATCGAACTGAAAAACATCATACTTAGAAAAGAAGTACCATAATTCATTGAAACTAAGGGGGGTGTATTCAATTGAGACTTTTATAGACATTTTAAGATTTGTGAAATATGGGTGTATTTAATTGAGACTTTTACAAACATTTTTAAGACTCAATATGTCTCATGTCCAAATCCACACAAATCTAGACAAACCCATGAATGTCTCTTCAAATCTCACAGTCTTGCAAATCTTAAAATGTCTATAAAAGTCTCAATTGAATACACCCCTAAAGAAGTCAAAAGACAAAAATTTGCATTTGGTTTAGTAGAAAGAGGACTAATGTGGCAAATGAATCCGATGAAAACTTACAAAAGCAGTACAATAATTCATTCAAAATAGTGTAAGTCAATTCATAAAGAAGGAAAGCATAAGCTAAGTTCCCTAATTGAAAATTTGAGCTAAAAACTAAAGAACGCTATAATTTATATTTAAAAACCTTCTTAGGTAGACTAAAACCGATTGAATTGACTTAATCTGCTGAATTAGGGACGCAATATGTTTTATCAATATAATAAAGAAATAATAACATCAAAATTGATATATTAATCAATTTCAATAATTTTAATCAATTCTGTTAGAAAATAAATTAAAATTTACTTGTTTTAATTATTATACTCTTATGCAAGTGAAATAAAAATTACTATATATGATGAAATAGTTGCTTATAACAAACCGATGTTTTAGCCTTGAACTTCTAATTAGGCCACTACTAAAAATGGCAAAGTGAAATTTCACTAAATATAAGAGTAGCAGGTAAAATAACTACATTTCATGCATAATGCAAATATATAAAAGGTTCACACTGTTTTATTTCATTATTTAATGTAACTTGTGGGACACTCTTAAAAATATTTCGCATACTGTTAAGTATTTTACATTGGGGGAAGACAGTAAAATACTACGTACCTTACAATAATAAATCGCACAAGGTAGCCAAATAATGTAATCCATTTTACATGCAAAATGATTGCATCCATAAACTTTGCGTGTATTTATTTCACGTGCAAAGATTTTGGACATGTTTACTTCACGGGTTACTAAAACGGTGCTTATTAAGACCCGCGTTAATAAGCAGCGCATAAAGTAAGCAATGTTGTAATATCGTGTTTACTTCAAAGGGTTTAAAACATCGTTTAACATTAAAATGTCCAAAATAACCCTATACATATATAGACGCACAAATATTCATGAACACAAGTATATAATATAATATATGGGGTCACCTCGTACATTTACCCATACCCCCTAACCCTTACCCCCGCCCTATACCTACCCCACCCCACCCCTACCCCTACCATAGACCCCAATTCCACACCCTTGACCCCTACCCTACCCTACCCTTATCACGATAGGCGCAGGATGGCGGTAGGGTGGGATCGGGGTGAGGCCGAGGTAGGGGCATGTGGTGGGGGTATGGGATATGGGGTGGGGTGGTGGGGGCGGGATCGGACCGAGGTAGGGAGCGGGGTAGGGTCGTGGTTAGGGGTAAGGGTGGGTGGGGTCGGGGTAAGGTAGGGTAAAGGATATGGTAAGATGCAGTAGGGTGGGGTCGGGATAGGGACATGGCTGAGGTAGGAGCATATGGTAGAGGGTAGAGTAGGGGGTGGGTGGGGTCGGGGTAAGTTAGGGTAGGGAGGGGTAGGGTCGTTGTTAGGGGTAAGGGTGGGGGGATGGTGGCTGGGGTCGGGGTAAGGTAGGGGTAGGGCTGGGGTCGGGGGTAAGGTAAAGGGTACGATATGATGGCGGTAGGGTGGGGTCAAGATCGGGATGGGGCCGAGGTAGAAGCATGAGGTAGGGGGTAGGGTAGGGGTAAGGTAAGGGTTAGGGTAGGATGGTGGTAGGGTAGGGCCGGGATCGGGATGGCGGTAGGGTTGGGGTCGGGGGTAATGGTAAGGTGGGGTCGGGGTAGGGTAGGATGGCAGTAGGGTGGGGCCGAGATTGAGGTAGGACCGAGGTAGGGGCATGTGGTAGGGGTGGGGTGGGTTGGGGTCGGGGTAAGGTAGGGTAGGGTTGGGGTAGATGGCAATAGGGTGGGGCCGGGATCAGGGTGGGGCCGAGGTAGGTGGTAGGGTAGGTTTGGGGCGGTCAGGTGGGGTCGAGGTGGTAGGGGTGGCTGTAGGATGGCAGTAGCTATGGCCTATGGATCGAGGTGGGGTCGAGGTGGGGCATGTGGTAGGGGTGGGGTAGGGTCTTGTAGGGAAAAAGAGTATGGTCGGGGGTAGGTTAGGGTTAGGGGTAAGGGTATGGTACGAGGATGAAGGTAGTGGGTAGGGTGGGGTCGGGGTAGTAGGGTTGGACGGGGTGGGGTAGCGGGTAGAGGGGTAACAATAGAGTAAGTGCAAGGGGTAAATTCGGAAATTGAAAAAGCTTAAAGTGCCGCTTAATTAATACATGAGGGTGGTATGCTTAGTAATCGGCACTTTAAGCACCTCTTTTGGTTAGTAAGCGACTTTTTAAGCAGCGTGCGTGTTTACTTTATCTGTCTTACTAACCTAACTGTGACTTTAGCAGTGAAGTAAACGTCTCTTTAGTATGTAAACTGCCACACGAGACCTAAGTAAAATCACAAGAAAATTTCTAAATAAGATTGTCATTGCGTTATTTCAAAATAGAATCAACTTACTTTTATTTTGAGATGTTTTAATCTAATTTATTCTTTTAATATGATTAAATAAGTCATATTTGCAGAATAAACATATTTAAACTTATTTTTAACTTCATATATGTGTTGATTCCATAATAGATTTTTCTCAATTTTTTTTACCTTAAGTAGGAGTAAAAGCATTTTTGATATATCTTACAATCAAAATAGAAATAAATAGTGTCATATTTTGACATTACCTAACTTCAATAAATCCTTTTTTTCCAAATTTAAAAATGTTCTTACTTCTAGGACATGTTTACTTCACCGGTTATTAAACGGTGCTTATTAAGACCTGTGTTAATAAGCGGCGCATAAAATAAACAATGTTGTAAGACCGTGTTTACTTCAAACGGTTTAAAACACCGTTTAACATTAAAATGTCCAAAATAACCCTATACATATATACACACACAAACATTCATGAACACAAGTATATAATATAATATGTGTACCTATACCCCCTAACCCCTTACCCACCCTACCTTACCCCGACCCCACCCCCTACCCCCTACCCCACCCGTACCCTTACCCTACCTACCCGACCCCACCCTACACTTACCCCACCCTACCCGTCCCCACCCTACCGCGACCCTACCCCCGACCCCATAGGCCCCTACCCCCGACCCCATAGGCCCCTACCCCCATAGGCCCTTACCACATCGACCCCACTCTGACCCCACCTTACCCCACCTTACCCCAACCCCGCCCTTACCCCTACCCTACCCTACCTTACCCCGATTACCACTACCCTACCTACCCGATCCCACCCCTACCCTACCTACCCGACCCCACCCTACCCGACCCCACCCTGCCACAACCCTCCCCCCGACCCCACCTCACCTACCCTGCCCCTAGCGCCTCTATCACATCGGCCCCACCCCTTACCTAGGGTGGTGGGGTCGGGTAGGTGGGGTAAGGGTATGGTGGGGTGACAGGGGTCGGGTAGTGGGTGGGTCGGGTAGGTAGGGTAGGGGTGGGGTTGGGTGGGTTCGGGTAGGTAGGGTGGGGGTTGAGGCGGGGTAGGGGGTAGGTCCAGGGTAGGGTGGGGTCGGGTAGGTGGGTAAGGGGTGGGGTAGGTAGGGTAGGGGTAGGTGTGTGGTCGGGTAAGGAGGGTAGGGGTGGGGTCGGGTAGGTAGGGTACGGTAGGGTGGGGTCGGGTAGGGTTGGGTTGGGTCAGGGTAGGGAAGGGGTAAGGTGGGGTCGGGTAGGTGGGGTAAGGGTAGGGTGGGGGTCGGTTAGGTAGGGTAGGGTGGGGTAGGTAGGGTAGGGTGGGGTCGGGTAATGGGGTAGGGTTGTGTTGGGTCAGGGTAGGGGTAAGGTGGGGTCGGGTAGGTGGGGTACGTGTAGGGTGGGGTCGGATAGGTAAGGTAGGGGTAGGGTGGGGTCGGGTAGGTAGGGTAGGTGGGGGTCGGTTAGGTAGGGTGGGATTGGGGTCGGGTGGGTAGGGTAGGTGGGGTCGGGGTAGGTAGGGTAGGGGGTAGGTGGGGTTGGGGTCGAGGTGGGGTCGGGTAGGTAGGTGGGGCAGGGGTAATAATAGGGTAAGAGCAAGGGGTAAATTCGGAAACTGAAAAAGATTAAAGTGCCGCTTAATTAATACATGGGGGGTGGTATGCTTAATAAGCGACACTTTAAGCACCTCTTTCGGTTAGTAAGCGGCTTTTTAAGCCGCGTGCGTGTTTACTTCACCTGTCTTACTAACCTAACTGTGACTTTAGCAGTGAAGTAAACACCTCCCTAGTTTTTTAAATTTTCCGTTTTAAAGGACAAACGGGTGGGAGCCGGGAGGGGAGTAGAAGTTCTAAAGTTGTAAATAATATTGAGAAGGGAGGGCACTTTTAAAGTCAACAATGATAATAAATTTCGGAAGATCCAAATTTGCCCCACTTGCCCGAAATAGGCCCCGACCGGAGCGAAGATTCAACGCAGAGAGTAGTGAGAGAATCGAGAGGCACGGCGCGAGATCGGCACAAGCAGCCGTCAACGACAGCAGCAGAAGAAGAGAGCAAGCAACTTAGAGAGAGAGAGAGAAAGAGAGGAGCGAAATAGAGTGTGAGTGAACCGGCATTAATGGCGGAGGAGCAGCAAACGCAGCATCCGCGGCGGAATCACGGCGAAGAGAGCGTCAAGCTCTTCGTCGGTCAAGTGCCAAGGCACATGACTGAAGCGCAGCTTCTCGCAATGTTCAAAGAGTTTTCCATCGTTGATGAAGTCAATATCATTAAGGACAAGACTACGCGAGCTTCCCGAGGTCGAACCCCCTCCCGCACACTCTCTCCCCCCCTTCTAATTTCCACGCTCTCGATCTCAGTGTGAGATTCGAGCGTCCCCTTGACCTTTTGTTGAGTTTTGTAGCCTCTGAATTTGGTTCTGGAACCGGTGTTTTCAGGGTGTTGTTTCGTGATATGCCCGTCCAGAGAAGAAGCAGACAAGGCTGTTAATGCGTGCCACAACAAGAAGACACTTCCTGGGGTATGTTTTAATGAGCGATTCGTTTCTCTTGATGTGCATTGTGCATAGCTAGTAGTATGGGTAGAGAAGGCTGAGATGCTAGATTTAATGAATGTTTCATTGGTTGAATTAATTGCTTTTTTAACTTCCTTTTGAAAACAATGTTGTAACCGCTGTGGCTTTGATTTACTGCTGTTTTTGTTGGGACGTTGAAACTTATAGAGGGGTTTCTTAACTGCAAAGGGTTATTTGACAAGTTGTGGTAGCATTAACTGGCCATTACTGTCGGGGACTTGTGGTTAAGTAGATGTGAGGGAATAAGATCCAAGAAGTGTACTGTTGTTGGTTCACTTGGTTGTATGTCATCATTGATCACCTATTAATGCTCATAATTTTTTTTACATGCGCATTGTTAACTGAATTCTACCATGATTGTGGGCTTTCATTTCACGCATCTTTATCATTGAAATTAACTTTATTTTCCATAGCCCAGCTTTGTGCTTTTACTTTTCTAAACCTAATGCATTATTTCTTTCTGTCAATTCAGGCTTCCAGTCCATTGCAAGTAAAGTATGCTGATGGCGAATTGGAAAGACTAGGTGTAGTATAATTTTAAGTTTGTAGTGATAAGTACCTTTTGTTCCTACCTATTGTGATGTGTTGATATACTTCATTATTCACAAAGTTAATAAAGATTCCCGATTTGAACTCTTGAATATTTTTATAGTTCCTTTTTAAATAAAATTTTACTAGTGGCCATCTTGTGCAATAAACATAGAAACTTAGTTTATCTCATTCTATCTTCTCGTTTACATTATTATTTTTTCAAACAACAGAACACAAGCTCTTCGTTGGTATGCTACCAAAGAATGTTTCTGATGCTGAGCTCTTGACCTTATTTTCACAATTTGGAACCATCAAGGAATTGCAAATTATTAGAGGGTCTCAGCAAACTAGTAAAGGTACTCCATGTTGCCCACTGTTCATGTTCTCAATACTCAATCAGTCAATCATATGCTGTGCAATACTGAATGTCTTACTTTCCAATTTGATTTTAATGTCTTGATTACTGCAGGATGTGCTTTTATGAAATATGAGCAGAAAGAACAGGCTGTTGCCGCCATAAATGCCCTCAACGGAAAGCATAGAATGGAGGTAGGACTTTTGTTTATTAGTTAGCCTTTTACAACATTTATTTCTCTTCTGCAGGAATGGAAATTATGTTGTCTGGTGCTTTCCTGCTTCCTTGGTGGAATTTTTGTATTATTTTTATTTGAGATGTAATTTTTAGCTGGCTATTTATTAATAGGTGAAATTCATAACCCTACTTTAGGGATTCTACAATAATAATCCCTACTAAAGTTTTCATGAAAATAATCCAAACTAGCAATGTTGTTCACAAGAATAAATTGGGGTAAATTGAAACCAATGCCCGTTTAATACTCCCAACTCCCACTTCCCCTTCCTGCTCTTCTTCTCGGGGTGAATTCAAATTAATGTCCGTTTGATCTCAATGCCATTTTAATCATATGTGGTTCTATCTAAATTGGAAGATAGAAGTGTTATACTGTTACACGAGAGTGGTGAAAAAGAAAGTGAGGGTAGGGTTTTGTAGTATGAAATGTGTATTAGTTTCAACTTACCCCAATTTATTCTTGTGGACACCATTGCTAGTTCTGATCATATTTATGAACACACTCAGTAGGGGTTATTATTGTAGAATCTCAGAAAGTAGAGATTATTCTTATGAATTTCGCCTTATTAATAATTTAATATTAGTAGAATATAAACTCTGTATCTTGTCCAGATAGGGCGTGACATGACTTTTTGTGGAATAGTTTCCTTTTAATGCACTTGCACATTTGCATAGTGAAACAATGAACTACTTCAGGAATACCACACTTTTATTTAATGGCACACTGTGATGTACAAAATGTACTTTAGTTACAAAAATGACAAAAATCTCACTTTGTAAACTTGAACTAATGTTTACCTTGTATATACTTCATCTTGACATGTTAATTTTAATGTTTACCTAAAGAAGCATTCATATTTGATCTGGGTGTATTTACAATTTTACATACATAAAAACCTCATGTATTGTGAATTTGGGAACAGTGTTATTGCTAGGAGATCTTAAGAAAAATTTGGGCCTACAGAATGGCCCAAATGCTGACATTTGATGTCTGGAGGAGTCCAAAAATCTAGGGATTCTTTACTAGGCCATTTCTATGTGGACAATGTATCGTAAATTTGGGGTCTGTCAAGGTTTATAAGCCATTTCTATCTGGCTCATTATTCAGAAATTGCAGACACTTGATTTGGTGCTGGGACATATTTCCTGCTTACATTTGATGATAATGTGACTTCTCACTTCAATTTATCCATAACTTTTGGAATATGGCCTCCCTTAATTACACATAGTGTGCTTTATTGAACTGTATTTGTTTGATGTAGACATCTTATGGTGGGTTCTCATATGTTCATACTTCATGAATACCTTTTAATATGCCTGCTTTCATAAATTGTAATTTATGAAATAAATTTACGGTTTAATCTATCCTTTCAAAAGTGAATATTTGGAGAGGCAAAGCCTGAAAAAATATACGGGTTGCATGATAAAGGTATAAGGTTTTGGGAGATTGCATCTAATCTGATCTTGTGGAGCTTATGATTCCACAAAGTTTGAAAATTACTCTGTGTGGATTAGAAATGAAAATGTTTAACACAAAGTTTGATGATGGCAAATTAGGCATCATCTCATTTGTGAGTCTGCACTTCTCTATATTAAGCATTCCTAATAAAAATATTAGTGCTTATGCAAATGCACATGATTTTGGGTTCTCAAGGTCCCAACTTTGAGCATTTAGTGAACACTCTTCCCAAATGTGAGGAGTTCAGTTTGTATGTTATAATTCTAGTCATTAGTTGTCATGAATTCCCCTTGTTCCAGTATAAAACCTGACCATTATCATCCCAAGCAAGGTAGTCAAAATCGTGATCCTGCGCACAGGATCATACGATTATACAATCTCTAATGCTTCACGCGATCTGCTTTTGCTGAAGATCGTAAAATGACCTGGATGGGTGGGATCGCTACGCGGAGTCATACATTAGTGGAATTACCGCTGAGCTGTGACAGTTGTCGGTAAATTTATAAATTCCGAGTTCTGACTTTAAAAATTGTCGGCAATAAAAGACTGAAAAAGTGAAAAGTAAGAATTTGTAGTGAACAGGTGTGTTGCTTCACCACTTGTGGATCCCTGCTATCTAGCTTCTTTCTTCCCTGCAATTCTTCTGCTTCTACCTTGAACTTTTGCTTCAACCTCAATCTTCATTGTTATCTTCTGTGCCGGCCTCATCCTTCAGTCTTTGTCATTATCTTGAAACCACCTTCAGCCATTAGGTAGTAGGTATAGTTGCACATACTTATTACTATTTACGATATTATTATGCCTCTAGGTACTTTTCTTTATTACTTTTATTTTATTAATATACTACTTTATTTTACCGTTATTTGTTAGTTAATGGTAACTTCTGTTGTGATTATTATTTTAGTGTATTACTTTTTTACCTGTCGATATTCTATAAATTAATAACTTATTTTAGTTTATCATTATTTAGCTTGTAGTGCATTAAGTATTCGTCATTAAGTATTTGGTGTTATGTTCTAAATATAATATCTATAAATTAATTCAATATCTAATTCAAACTATACGTAGTATTATATTATATATATATATATATATATATATATATATATATATATGTATGTATATCATAGGACCTTACCATCCGAGATACGATCCTACAATTTACGAAATTTAGGTCCCCTTCTGATCCTTCGTAGGATTTCAAGAATGACTACCAAGATCTCAACTTGTTATTTTTGTCATTTTGAGGGCTTGTATTTGCTGGTAGTAATTTGGTTCTCATCCTTCTAACCAGGGTTCCACAGTCCCCTTAGTAGTCAAATGGGCAGATACAGAAAAGGAAAGGCAAGCTCGGAGGGCTCAAAAAGCTCTATTTCAAGCATCTTCGCCTGACTCTGGACAGCATCCATCTCCATATGAAGCTTTACCTATTGGTTATATGCCTCCGTACAATGGATATGCTTATCAGGTTAATTACTTTCCATATCTCTGGCTATTTGCATATCAGTTCAGATAGTTAACATTGTCCTCCCCTATTGGTGAAATGTTTCGGCCACTAGCAGGTTGTTGCAATTTTCCTCTCTTTTCCTCTGTTTCAGTTCATATGTGTTATGGTTTGTTTGGATAAGGAGGGAAATAGCAAAAAAAGTAGTAGGGGAGATAAGAAAATAAGTGGGGAATAGGGAGATGATAAAATAAGTGGGGAATAGGGAGATGATAAAATAAGTGGGGATAGGCAGACATTTAAATTGTTTGCATGGCGAGAAGTAGGAGAGAAAGAAAAGTTGTTTATTCTTTTAGAATTTTAGACATATATATCCCTATTATTGTAGAGATTGAAATGTAGAAAATATATAGTAAGGTTATCAGAGTGTTTTTTTTAATGGACCTTCATGAAATTTTCTTTCAAAAAAATCTTGGGAAAAGGTACAAATATATCCCTATAATATGGGTGTGAGAACAAATATACCCTTGTTCTTTTTTTTGGAACAAATATACCCCTGAAGTATATGTTGAAGCACATATATACCCCTGAACTTTTAAAAAGTGCTAAAATACCCTTCATGTTCTTATAAAGGAGCAAATTTACCTTTATTGATTTTAAATAGATAAAATAAATTTCAAAAAACATCAAAAATAAATTAAGAATTAAAAATTTAAAAATAAAGATTTATTATTATGTTAAAATATTAACTCTTTAATTTTAAATTTCAAAATTATTATTTTTCCTTAGTAAATGAAGCACTTTAAATTCATAAATATTAATTTTAGTCTTGTTGTGAAATCTTGAGCACATTGTTACATTTTTTGAAATAACATTCTTTGATTGTATTGAACATATTTTTTTTAAACTTCAAATTTATACCTTTTTTGGTGTTTTTTGAAATTTATTCTATCTATTTAAAGTTAATAAAGGTAAATTTGCTCCTTTATAAGGCCTTGAGGGGGTACTTTTTCACTTTTAAAAAATTCAGGGGTATATATGCACTTCAACGTATACTTTAGGGATATATTTGTTCCGAAAAATAGAACATGAGTATATTTGTTTTCACACCCATATTATTGGGGTATATTTGTACCTTATCTAAAAAATCTTTCACTTCATTCTCTCCGTACTCTCCTTTGATAGTCATCTAAACAAACGAAGGTTTAATGTAGAGTTAGATTGATAAAAATAATCATCCTTTGTCTTTTAATACTCATCATTCGATTCAATCTGCTTTGCAGAGTCATGGAACATATGGAATCATGCCGTACCGCTTCCCACCAGTGCAGAACCAACATGGTTTTCAGAATATTGTTCCACCGCCCACAAATCAAGTAAGCGCAGTACCTGGCACCACTTCTGATCCTTCATCCAGATTGACCCCAAGAAGCTATGCTATGTCTCCAGCAAGTTACTTAAGATCTCCTTACTCTGTCCCCGGGGTTCAGTATCCGATGCCATATCCTGGAGGAGGAATATTGAATAATAATAGACCTTTTAGTAATTCTCTTGGCGCTAACAGCTCATCTGCAGCATCTTCAAGCATCAACTCAGTATCTGGGGGTCAGATTGAAGGTTGTCAGAATTTTCCTCATTTCTCTTATGTTAAGATTGGCCTACAGTTGTTTGCTTAGGCTCATACACCTTTTGTAGGCGCTTCCTCATGATAAAGAAGTTCATTATTCACAATGCTTTTTATCATGGGGGGCAAATAGTATGACTGTATGTGAAGCTATGAACAGTAACTTAACAAGGACCAAGGACCAATAAGAGTATAGTGTAGAACAACTAACTAGAACATGAGACAAAAAAGGGTAGGCCCTAGTGAATTAGCATCTATTTTAGCTTAATTTGATTACTGTTCAGGATAAGGTACTCCATTTGTCCAAAAATGTGGTACATGTGGTTTAATTTGACCTGTCTTTTAAGAACACTAACATGTTGTGGTTGAGATTTATTTTGAGTTGAGAGAAATAATAGGAACCACACAATTATTTCCTGTAAGGAAACATGAACTTTATTTTGCGACCGACATAAATGGGAAACATGAACCTTTGTTTTGTTTGGGACGGGAGTAGTGCATAGGTCTCAAGTGTTGATTTACTTTTACAATTGAAGATGCTATGTTCACATTCCTTCTGCTTGAAACTTCCCATGACGAAGGGTTAATAATATTAAAAATGTAAAAGAGTGAAATTTGCGTTTTGCAGGTCCTCCTGGTGCCAATTTATTTATTTATCATATTCCACAAGAATATGGTGATCAAGAACTAGCAAATGCATTTGAACCATTTGGTAGGGTCTTGAGTGCAAAGGTTTTCATAGACAAGGCAACCGGCATTAGCAAATGTTTCGGTACAGATTCTCCTGATTTGATATGTACGGTAAGAGTGTCTCTTCTTTCTGCTTTAATCATATCCTCCTCTTCCTGCAGGATTTGTCAGTTATGACTCTCCAGAAGCTGCACAAGCTGCTATTAACAGTATGAACGGCTACCAATTAAATGGGAAAAAATTGAAGGTTCAGCTTAAAAGAGACAATAAACAAACCAGACTTCATTGATATATATCAAGCAAGGTGTGGGAATTATATGCATCAATGACAACACATTTTACTGGCTTAGGATTGCAATTTCAGGCGTATTACACGATTAACATCTACATGGCTACTGGAGCCACTCATGGGATTGAAGCATGGGAAACATGTAATTTGTGATTTTTGGGGGGTTCCGATGTAATTTTTGTATAATGATCATTTTCATTTAGACATCAATTTTTTAAAATTATTCTTTTGATTTATGGACCTGATTTCATTTTCTCCTCCATTGGTCAGAAGCTTTTTCATTTCTTACCCGTTTCTTTCATCTTTGTTACTGTTCCTTTCATTTTGGTCATTCTTCGTGTTGAACTAGTCATAGACCCATGGGCCCGGCCCGGTTCGGGGCTCAGGACTGGCCGGTCCCGGTTCCAATTAATTTGAGTAGGTACTGACCCGGGTTAGTACGGCATCGGTTCCGGTCTCGGTTCCAATTAATTTGAGCCAGGTACCGACCCGGTTAAGTATGACACCGGTTTCGGGTACCTGAGTGGTTCACAGCCGGTCTCGGGTTAGGTTTTTTTACCTAATTATACAAGAAGTGGTAGATATTAAAAATGAAATGTAGATTTGTTTGAAATATGAATTACAATTGAGGTTTGAGAATAATTTAAAATATTTAATACATTTGCTAATTGTTGGAATTTCCATCAGTGTCAGTTGTTGTTTTCTCCATGAAGTGGTTGTCAAGGGTGATGCAAAGTTCTTGAGTTCTATGTCAGACCTTCAACCAATTGTGGAAGCAAATGAGTGTCTAGATATTGTGTGCTCAATCTCATGCTATAATCGTTAGCACATTGTCGGTTTCACTAAATTCTTGTTCCTCGGTTAGGATGGACTGGGCCGGAATTGAGCTAGGCTTCGGGCCAGGATTGGACGGGCTTCGGGGTTACGGATTTCAGGCCTGTACCCGCCCTGGATTGTACCGGGATCGGGCCGGGCCGAGCTCAAACAATATCGGGTTGGGCCGGGCTTCGGGATGGGACTAGGCATTCAATCAAAAAATAGTGTAGTTGAACCCGGACCCGTCCTGGTCCTAGCCGGGCTGGGCAAAAAAAATCGAGCCTGATGCCCAGGCTCATAGCCATCGCGCTGAGCCCCGGGCCGAGACCGGGCCTAAATTGTACCGGGTCGGGGCCTCGGGCCGACCCGTCCCAGTCCATTCATATCCACAACTACTGTTGAAACCAGGACGAGGCAGTTGCTTCACCTTCTTCGTCATTACCCCGGTGCCACAAAGGCTCTCACCCACTGTCGGACCCAAAAAATAGAGCCATGGGGTCCCCGTCCTATTGTATTTCTATTTTTTTTCTAAATCCAGGATTAGCGTCAAAAGATTCTAAATCAACATGTTGGTCATGTAGCTTATAAGCCAAATTAGTTTTACTTTCAGCAATTACTTGATCCAATTCTTCATTTATTAATGGCGAATCATTTGAATTAACATTCGAATTACCCTGGTACTCCGATTTTTTTAAATCTGGGTACACAATCGAAATATCTTTTCATAAAAAAAACCTTATTACTCCCTCCGTTCTTTAATAAAAGTCCTTCTTTCTTTTTTGGGACGTTTTTTTTATTTGTCCTCCTTTCCATTTAAGGAAAGTTTTTACTTTAAATATACCTTTATACCCTCACTTTTATTACCATTACCCCTTTCTCTTTCCTACTTTTTCATTTACCCACTACTCATTACACCTTTTACACTACCCCTACTATTTTCCTCTTAAAACCCGTGCCAAAGCCTAAGAGGACAGATAATAAAGAACGGAGAGAGTATGATTTTACTATGATTTTATACGATTCTACACAATTTTGTACGATTTTTTCACGATTTTGTATGATTTTATGAGTTTACGATTTTACTTGCGATTTGAATCGATTTACCAATGTAGAATTGAGATTTTAACCACTTGAAAATAGGTATGCAATTAGAGATGTTTTTTTTTAAAAAAAAGCCAAAATGGTGTGGTTTTGGCCTTTTAAAAAATAATTTTGAAAAACAAAAAACCACTTGAAAATAGGTATGCTGTTAGAGATTTTTTTTTAAAAGCCAAAACCGTGCGGTTTTCATATTTTAAAAAAATATTTTTGAAAAACAAAAAACCACTTGAAAATAGGTATGTGGTTAGGTTTTGAAAGCCAAAACGATGTTGCTTTGGTCTTTTTAAAAAATAATTTTGAAAAACAAAAAGTGGCAAGGAAAAATAATATTTCGGAAAATAATATTTCGAACTTGAAACTTCCGCTAGACTAGGGCTGGACTCGGGCCGGGCGGCCCGACCCGGAACCGGCCCGGCCCGGTGGCCCGGTCCACCGGCGGTTCGGGTCGAACCGGCCCGGTGAATACCGGTTCCGGGCCCTCCATTTGGTGAACCGGCCCGGCCGGTTCGGGCCCGGTCCGGGCCGGAATTAATTTTTTTTTTATTTTTTTTGAAAATTTTTTAATTTTTGGGTTGGATTAGGTATTTTGGACAATTTGAGGTGGTTTGGGGTGGTTTGGGGTTGAGGGGGAGGGGTAGGGGGTTAAATAAGAGAAGCCAAAAAAAAAAAAAAAAATAGGGCGGGTGAACCGGCTCGGAACCGGCCCGGTCTGGCCCGGAACCGGCCCGGAACCGGTCACCGCCGGTTCGGGTTCGGGCCCTCCTTTTGGTGAACCGAGGCCCGGCCGGTTCAAGGCCCGAACCGGGCCCGGCCCGAACCGAGTCCAGCCCTACGCTAGACATAAAGCTTTATAGCTGCACTTCGTGACTTCCCACCATTCCATCTTCTGAGGCTACTAGTTACGTAACGCGCGTCACACGTTCGTGATAATGCCCAAGGCCATTGTAGGGATATTAACTCCGCGGTTTAGGTTGAGTTAATTATATGAGTAATATGAATACAATATTTGAATACATACTTTGTTACTTATTGATAAGGAATCCTAATCAATAAAGTATTTCTATGCTAGATTATATGTGGGAAAAAGAAAACGGGAAAAACAAATGGTTTGCAATGAGTAAATTTGTTAAAGATAATACATATGCACATCTCTAACATAATAGATTCAATTTGTTGTTGTAAATGCAACATCAGAAGAGAATCGAAATGTTTTATATGTCAAGGTTATCACCTACTAAATCAAAATCAAAATGTATTTTGATTTCAAAAGCCTGAATGTTCTCATGAGATAATCTCATTCTTTGCAGATAAAGGTACACTATCCCCCTCGTAATCTTCAGCTTGCTTGACTACGAACACTTTATCGGGCCTTCCTGGCAAAAACCATATGCATTTCCGGCCTTTTACATTTTATATCAGAATTGTGTACATTTTTGGAGGAAAAAACTAATTGTATATGCTTTTATTATCTCACACTTTGTACCAAATGTGTCACTTATGCTCAATGCTATTTTCAAACAAAAGTTTAATACGTCTACGACTTACAATTCGTTATATTGTATGGAGTACAATTTTGTCAATATATAATATTGCAATACGGAGTACAAGTTAGAGTGAGTAAATAAAATACTATGTAAAACTAAAATAATATAAGGAAATATACTGCAAGTAGTTGACGGATTTATGATTAACTGAAAATGTTATACATTTATAACTAAAACATCTGATGTCATTTGTGTGTGTAATGTTTTAAGGTATGGTTGTAATGTATTTCAAGATGATGATTTACTTTCTCTTTATTTAAATGGTGATGTATATATCTCTGCTCCCACCCTTACACAATCTAGTTGTATGTAATATTTACCACATTCTCCCATTTACTTTAAGAATTTCATCTTCCACAAGAAATAACTGTAGGTTTAACATTCTGTTCTATAGAAAATGTCAACTCACCATTTAAGGATATTACTTGACAGATGAACAAATAGTTATAGAAGCAAAAGAGAACCAAAAATGTGCAAACAGAAAAAAGTTTAACTGAAGTGACAATTGAAATCTAAAGGCTGTTTTTCATATATAAATCTACATGGTACAATAGAGTAATAGACTTCATTGCTTGAGCTAGTTAGTCAGTAGATATTAAATTTATTTCAGGAAAAAATATTACTAAAACCGTAAACATAGAGCTCCTTTCTTTCTTAGCTCAAAACATATATGATAGTCATTACTGTGTATGAAAACTTGCTCATTTTTTGTGAGAATTTTGAGATTTAAAACGCAAGCAGAATAATAGGCATGACTACTTTGAAGGCTTGAAAACAGAAACAAGTGATCAATTATTATCCCTATTGGGTTCAAATGTAAGTTCCCTGATACACAATGAGACTACGATCTCACCTGAGATTAGTCTACCGGATAACAAATTGAAAAAAAACTCCGAGTAGTTGATATAGAATTCTATCTGATATAGAATTTTCTTCCCAGAATTCTGGGTTTTATAACTTCTAACTGTTAGTAAGTTTCTATTAAAGGTTTCCCTAAATTTGAAAGTAATCATTAATTCAAAAGATAGCAAAATGCAACATGGAATTCGAAAGTAGTCTATTTGATATTGATTTTCAGTTTCAAAAGCAGTAACTGCAATTATTTAAGAGATTTAGGTGTTCATAGTGTTAGAGGAAGAAGTTGTTAACAAATTATTACTCCGTATCATACATGGCTGTAAATTTCATTCTCTAAATTTCCATAACTTTAATCATATAACACTTTATATAAGGACGGACTACTGGTTAACAAATAGTTTGCGGCCAAATACTCGGTCAGTAAATAAACAAATGTGAATAAGCACAAGCACGTACAAGACAGACATAGAGGCCTAAAAACCTTACCGGAAAAAGATTACTGAGCAGTGGGAGATAATCCTTTGCTAGTTTGCCAAAAGATGAATATCTCTACATCTACATCTATCTTACAATACATATACAATATAATAAGCTTGAATGAAGGTTAGGGTATTGTGGGTATGAAAAATTTGTTGGTGGTATTCTAAGCTTGGTTGATATGTACATCATGCTTAAATGGTTGTAAACTTTCATCTTCAATTTCCTTTGCCCCCAACACTCCGTTTCTTTCCCGTTAATTGCCCGCCCGTTAGTTTATATTCTGAGAAGTGAGAACCAGCCCTTTTCCGTATTTGTCTTCCTCTCGAGCTCAACAGGCCCAGCCGTTCCAATGGATTCCCTCATTCCCTTCCTGTCTGCAGTTTGGCCGCAGAAGACCACCCGTTCGATGGAATCAGGCTGGGATCTCGCTTCACGGATGCACGCTCAAACTCCCTCTTGGTCCGCATCCAGCTCAGTCCTTTCGTCTTCTTTGGCATTTG